AATTTCTTCGCCGTCAGCAATACTCTGTGAAAAGCTTCAAACGAGGCAAACGAAGAAATCCAATGCAACATCAATAATCATACAACATACACAATCACACACATCACACTGACTGTACTGTACTGTACTGTACAGTCTGTACGAGATCATATCGGCATACACGATTACCAACCTGCTGTTGAATGTATGTAATCGATATATTTGATAACGCTCGATATTTTGGTGTTAGTGGATGGCGAGCGACCATTACGAGGACAAAAGGTCTAAATAGCCGATGCTACCTACCTGAGACCGCTTCTACTTTTCCCACATGGCATGCATGTTACAGGCTTAGGCCTCCGAAGCCACGATGATGACACACTATTGCACACCGTAATATCCATCAATTTAATCTACTTAGACCTCAAATAATCTTCGGCTTTTGGTGGTAACCCTCATATTCTCACACTAGGGCGCCATCGAGAAGTTTCAAGCGAGAACTTCCAAGGATTTTCGTCTTTCTGAGTATGTAAATGGTTACAACGACCGAGAAAATCTCCGACCACATGGTCAAGGAGAGCAGGCCTGAAAAAACCGGAGAACAAGGACCTCGAGACCCCAAGAAATAAATTCAATTTCATTTCAGCCTCCCAGAAAGTGGTCTTGTCCATTTGAACTAATACAAGTTAACACATTTCCCATGCCCAAAAGGAGGCGTACAAAATCTGCAGTTGGTCTGCAGTGGGTTCTGCTTTCATTGGATTTCAGCTCCCTTTGAAACAAGAGGCGTGGGAGATCATGCCTATTTGCAGAAGGTCAAGATGAACCTTCCTTCGAAATTCTTATATTATTGTAGACTAATGGACAGGGCCTGTCTCCTCTTTGTCCCTGTCTTGTTACTTCCCTGGTATCCTTGACTACCATGAGACTGCGAGTCTGCAACGATGGCCAGGTGTGAATGGATTCTAGAAAAATTGCCTAATCGTCGATCTTTCCACGGTTGCGGCTTCCTCCCGCATGACAAAATCCATAAAGGAATTTTACGATGCTAAATTCAGTATAAGACATACACGGAACCCCTGGAGATCACCAACATCCTTATTTCCTCGATACTTCTCAGAAGGTCTTTGCATTCTTCCGCGACAGAAAGGGAAATCTTGTGGCTTCTCGAGGCTCATTTGTTTCCTTTCCAGTATCTCTTATCTTGCCCCAATTTCCCTTTCCGTCACTTTATCTATGATCTCCTCGGTCCGATCTTACATGACAAGCCGAGAGACACCTATTAACAAATCTTATAGTCATGGATAAGTTTTGACTGTAGCTGTACAAGGATTCTACTCCATAATGAAGAGCTAACCTTGAATTGCTTCAATTTACAACAAACGTCCAAGAACACCATCCGATCTTATACCGGCGCATTGTGATATCACTATTCAAATCAACGATCACTCGCTACGGATTATAAAAACCTCGACGTTCGAACTGGGGCATTCCGGTGACAACGGGGATATCATTGGTGAAGATGTTTTGAAGCTTGCTGTGCATGGCCTAGATTAAATGCTTAAACTGCTGCCTGAATGCGAGGTCAAGGATTACAAGGTTCAATCACGCCCACCTGTTACCAGCTACTCCTTTCTTGAATATTCAACATGCGTTTTGAACGTATTTTGACCAGTCTCGAAGTCACAGCGACCTAGTTTGCTGTCACAGGACATACGGTTACAATTGCCAATCTTCTAATACACTATATATAGATTCAAAATTGGGGCGACAGCGTTGTTCAGCCTGCCTTGGAATCAAATCGAGGAGGCGAAAAGGTACTCAACCAGCCATGGTGTGCTACATCACGAAATGCGGAACGCGGCTGCTTCCAATCGATTCATCTTCAATACATCTAACTATCATCTGATGGTGTAAGAGTATTAGAGGAAGGATCCAACTTCAACAGTGAGCCCTGTCGAAGCCCCAATGAACGATGAATCCGTAAAGAAGATGACTGCTGGAAAAACAAGTAGAGGAAAAACTAGGTGATGAACTTCTTCAATGATGCGGAGATTTGAACGTGCGTAGACGTCGCAATTTCAATAGAGGTTTATCCGTTGGCGGGGTCTCAAGCCCCTTGAGACGCCATGCAGTTTCATGGCAGCAAATGCTTCTCCCTTTTCTTTGGTGGTTTATCTCGAACAATACTCCCGTGCCCTGGCAGGAAAGGCTCAAAAGACACAACTGTGAAGTTTTAGACATGTTGAATCTCATAGAGGTCTGATATTGTAAGACACTGGCTCCGAAACACTGTCTCGATTACCATTGCACTCGTAGCAACTTCATTAACAGCTTTCATGTCGGCTTCTTAAATGTCTGAAGTTCAATCACTTCACCGGTTTGAATGTGCCTTCAGTCGTACGAAGAATCCTGAAGTTGTGACGAGAGTGAAGTAGTTTGTTCGTCGTCTGACTGCTAAGCTAGCGATGTAAGGGAGAGAGTAGCTGGAGCTTATATTCTTCTCAATGATTATATGCGACATCAATGTATCGATTCGTTCGACGTTGCATCATGGTGGGCTTCAAGTTTGAAAAGGCTCGCAGTCTTGCAGATGTCTTGGGGGGTTTCATCCCTCCGCCTTGTCAAGTTTTCCATGAAAGATCTCAAGACTTTCTGTGTACATCCAAGCTAACGCCTCTGTCTTTCAAGCGTTCATGATGCAAGAGTAAGTGAGGGTAAGAGGAACACAAAGTTGAGTTATGATTTCGCCATTGTCTTTCGTCATTATCTTGCTAATGCTGTACCTCCATTTTACCATTGCATTAAACTCTTCGAAAGATGTCTTACCATACCGTAGTTGAGCCAGTCGTTATAATGGTAATAAAAATAGCACTCTGAGATGCTACATTGACTGGAGAATGTCAACTACTTTCCATTGCTAAGAATGGTATGAATGCGACCCGTCTGACGTCTCTGAAACCAGAACTAAACACCAATCGCAAAATCTACTTACTGATAGCTTCTCTATCTTCAATTCACTTCACACAAACAATATGATGGGTGGTTATAAGGTCCGCTCCAGGGTTTCCACGTCGAAGACCAGGATAGACTTCACATAATCTCCATACAGTGTCCTCGTTATGAACACAAGGCGAATAGAAGTGAATGGAGACTACTCAGTCAGACGGGCGCCTATTTGGAAGCCCAAAGCATCCAGCATATTACTGCCCAGTAGTTCACCGAGTTCCCGAGTTATAACATCCACCATCCTTCTCATCCGATTTACGCTCATGTCGAAGGAGGCTTTGTGAGGATCAGGATCTCAACATCAATGAATCTGCCTTGCATAAATGACCCGATCGAGAGAGGTGCTTGGAGTCTGAGAGGATCTTGTTAGATCTCTGCCTACTCGCTGGCATCTCGATGTGGGTATTTCAAAGGGATATGAATACTAGTGTAAATCTACGGGGTTGTGAAGATGAAAGGATGATAAATAAGACGCTCTTGTGTGGATAGATCGAGATTTCGTCCCATACGAGTCTAAATGTTCATCACCTAACCTTAAGATATGCAGACTATCAAACTTCTTGGGGGCTTTTGTAGATTTTAGAGAGAATTGCTTGATTACATTCTTATGTCAATGTTTTCACTCTGTTCTTGTTCATGTGCTAGTATTATCAGTGTTCCCTAACTACCTCTCCACAAGTCTCAAATCTCAAGTCTCAACTCTCAACTCTCAGATACTAGTTAGCAGTAGTAATGTAACATGATATACATGCGATATACATATGCTTCTCTCGTATCTCATATCTCAAATCTCAAATCCAACCACTCAACATCTTTCCACTCCTCCACCCTCCACCCTCCACATCCCTTCACATCTAAACCCTCACTCCCGCAAATCCAGACCTATCTCTCAACAAAAAACCCTCCTAACGTTTGCCATCCACACATCACCAACAACAACTTCCCATAACTACACTCATGGAACTGGGCCACCATACCGGTCCAAATTTTCCAATCGTACAAATTTCCAGCTACCCAATTCCTAATCCCATCCATCAACCTTGTATTCTATTCCCTAAACACAAATCCCAAATACACCACACACCCATTCCCATTCCCATGGATTCCCGTCCCCTACTCCCCTCTAGAATCCACCTCACTTCATCCGTCCACAAGTTGTATATATACCTAGATACCTAAGTAGGTACATAATGTAAAAAAAACTACCATCACCACAAATTCCTGAAGTCTTCTTACATAAGTTAATCTATACTAATCTAATAGTCTCATACCATAATCTGCCCATCGAAAACCCCCATCTCTCCTTTCCCATTCATTCCAAGAAAGAGATCCTGTTCCCCCCCCTTCCCCCCTTCACTCATTCAATCGCAACACTTCCAAACCCCCAATCCTATTCTATCCCCTTCTCTTGCATATCGAGATATCGAGATATCGAAATACAGAAGTCTACATATATATTTTACATTCATTCATACGCTAGTATGACGCTGTGAGTGAATTTCTTCACTTGGAGATTCAGAGGGCTGGTCAGTATATGTAATCTTAAGTAGTTTTGGACTCGATCGAGACTCTCAAGTAGATATGCAAGAAAAGCATTTGAACGAGAGGAGGGGTGAGTGTGAATGATATTTAGATTGGGGACGAAGGTCTGGAGAGGGAAAAGTGAAGGGAAGAAAAGATGGTGAAATGGTCCCGGTATAAGTGAGAGATGACTCTGCGAGTCCTTTACTTTCCTTAGGCCTTCAGTATAGAATTGTATCAAATATCAAATCACCAAGTGAATACTGACGAAAGTCCGGGCAGGAAAATTCTTTCAAGTCTTCATTATATTGCTCTATTTAGTTTTAATGTTTCCTCTAGAACTCTTCTATCTATATTTCTATACACGACAAAACCTCACATTCTATATTCGTCCGGTGTACATAAATGAGGTCCGAGTCCAAACTCCGGTCTTTTACCCACCTCTAAACACCAACCCCAGAATCTGTCCCATTTTCCCAAGTAATCGTCAGCTAAACCATGTCTCTTACATTCCCAATGGGCCCCATAGAAGAACACCTTGAATTGACCAAAGTCCTCACACTATCACTCCTCGGCCTCAACGGCCACTCCCTATTTTCATATACATCGTTCGTCAAATTCCTCATACTCAAACACACACTCCCACTACCGAGAGGCCACTTCATCTCCTCTATTTCCGTCATCGACTTTGTTTTGCTTCTCATCTCCACCTCTGTACCCTCCATGTTTTCATCCGGAAGCTCTTCAACCGTAACATGTACCCCCGCTTTCTTCTCTCTCTTCTTATCTCCCGATTCCCCCTCACAAAAAAATTCCTCATCCACCTCCATGATGCCAAACCCCGACATCTTCAATCCTCCCATCACGCCGACGCTCCCCATTCTCCCTCGACCCATGCCAAGTGTGCTTCTAGAACTTCTTGCACTATCCAAAAGAGTGCTGCAAGTAAACGACGTAAAACTCGAAACCCTCGAATCTTCATCAAAAGCCGTATATGTAGAATTTGAATCTCGATATGTAGAAGCTCGTTTATTGGCCATGAGATTCATATTATATATATAATTTGGTCTTTCTGTATAGGCAGTTCTGTATGGTTGGATTTGACCGAGAGATGCATTGGGACAAAGTGAAGAGAAAGCTTTGGGGAAGAAGAGACGGAGAAGAGGGCGGAGAGTCGCACCACTGAATGCAATTATTCCGAGTCCGGGCTCAATTGTGGACCACTGGATAACAATTAGTATGGAGAAATTAGAACGCGGTTGAAATATCGCAGATGCACATACGATAGCTATATCTGTGGTTGCGTACAGAAAATCATTCGTGATCGGCACGTCTTTGAGAAAGGGTATACGTATTATTGTTGCGATTCCAGCTCTAATTTTACATATCAAATCTCATTCACAGTTTGTACATTTAAGAGTGACTTACAGTAAACCAAGAGAAAGAACACCGGAGATAGAGAGTTTGGCCTTCATACTCATCTTCGAATCCCACATAACCCAGATAGGCAAGAGACCAAGCGTCCAGTCCACAGTAAATCCTATAACGGAATGTGCTACGCTGGCTGCTGGAACTATGCTGCTATCTATGCAGGAGCCTGTTGCACCTTCATATTGCTTCCAGAAATAGTCAAATGGGGTGCATTGACAAAAAACGAGAACAATGAAAATTATGGTAAAAATAATGACAGAGGCTTGGGTTGCGTAGATGATGCTCTTATGCAGTGAGCGAGTGGATAATCTGAGAAGAAATACAGAGATCGAGAGGCGGACAAAAAGGGTTGTGAGGGCATAAAGGCTTCTGAGCAATATGTTAGCGATGGTTTAGAAGTCGGCCTGTAAGCTGGAATGTAACAATGCAACATGACAAGTTTTCTCGAGACAAGAAAGGCGGCACACTTACTCGTCAAACCACCATACCTGGAGAGCTATGGGGAGATCTTCACGTGAAATCTGATCGGTATGTTGTCCATTCCCGAACCTTACAGATTGTAAGCCTGCTGTGCCATAGAGAGTGTATAGAAACTAATTCTATTAGTCAAGTGAATGAATTTTGAAGGAAGAACTGACGAGTGACACCGTAAGCAAAGAATCATCAAAACTCCAAGATTTCGTGATGAACAAACGGACAATAATCCTAAGAGAAACGAATAGCCACGAAAGTCCCATAAAGACACAAATAATAACAGCTGAACAACATTTAGCATTGATGAGAACCATCTATCATGTTGCGATGTAAACTCACCAATTTCAGGACCTCGATCTTCCGCCATTGTATAACAATAACTGACAGGACCAGATATCACAATCAATTATGTTTGAAGACATGAATTCTCCACAACAGACCATATTTCTCATGGGTTTTAATGACATTTACATGTATTAATATCGAGAAATACCATCTAAGAAACGGGATGAATGCACTAGAGATTTTCTCCATATCTATACATGTGCATGCAACTTCGTGCATTCGTGCATTCAACCGTTACTATCCAGTATGGTATTTTGCTAAAGGCTCTTTCGTAGGTGGACATATAACTACCATCGCACTCAATAAAGGCAAGATCTTCAGGTACGCGTAAATAACGTTTGTGATTCGATAAAAAAGTCTAGTTCGACTTTAGTACACGAGCTAATGCCGGTAGGAAGCTAAAGTATCAAGCGAGACGGAAAGATGGGTATCTTTTGTAATCGAGAAGTCTACTAACGCCACAAAGCTATAGTAGTGAATACGAGAGGCCCCATTGGACCTAAATTTATTGAAGAGGATGAGATGGTTCGGATGCAGAGAAGAAATGTAGGAGTGCGGTTCGCTCAAAATTGGCTTCAAGATTGACTTAACGATTGAACCACCAACTCCACGTCCTCTTACGGACTGTGTACTGGAGTGATGCTCCCCATAATTGAAGCAAAAATGCACCAAATGAGGTACAGATATCCGTCATTGAAAGAACTTGCGTCGAAACCCAAAATGAACAACACAGAATTGACATGCATCATGACCCCGGTAAAGGATATGGTCGTCGAAATGACGCACGCCTACTACGTACGATTGTTTGGTAGTCCTGTGCCTTTGGTTCCTTAAGTTGACAAGATTTTGGGAGCGGCCGATAAGTCTTCGCGGCTAATGAATTGGGGGAGAGGCGTGCCGTGCCGCAGGCTTGCGGATTTCAACGCTTGGGAGACGGGCCCACGGAAATAGCAAACAAAACTCTCGGGCTGTTTAAACTTTATTCCTCATCTAGATTGTAGTATTCTAGGTGGAAATGACTGCCGACCAAGAAGAAATTTGCGATGAAGGTATCCAAGTCTTGGCTAAAAGTGGCCAGGTTCCCGTCCCAAATTTAGTAAATTTCAAGACTGCGTCGGAGTGAAATATTTTCTCCGGTCAATTTCCACCCTAAATTTCTCCTTAAGCTTTCCAAAAAAATTGTATTTCCTGTCTGTTGCCCGAGTCCAGCAAGTCACAACGATTTGTCATGGCTGTTGAGAATTTTGGGCGCATGATGGCAGTTCCATTTTCAGCCTTCCAAATTGTTGATAGTGGATGATATAAACTCACTCTATACACAATTCCATTCAGTGAACCCAAAATAGGAAGTATCAAAAAGTGGAACTACTTTCGTACATGCCACATAACCCGAATTTGGTGCATCACCGTATCAGACGAAAAAACCTTATCCTAGAATCACTGAGTCTAGATTCTTTGAAGTCATGAGCGGCAAGAAAAAGCTTGTTCTGGAAGGCGTCCGAGATTTTCATTTTTGTATTTCCTCGGTTCGCTCAGGGGTCAAGGTGGCGTGGGAGGCTTTGGAGGAGGTGCATGTATTAGAGAAGGTATGTCTATAGGTTCGGACGAGACTACGATGAGGGGCGAGATCTGACTCTCAGATCTCGTGGTATCATATCGTGTAAGATTATGATGAACCTGCGAGGGAACTTCAAGGGTATCCCGGCGCGCTCTTGGCTTATCGCCGTTTGCTGATGAAGGAGAGAATTGGGACGTTGGCGACCGAGGTGACGCGGGTTCGGGGGTCCCTGTGCCACACTCAATGTCAAGCCCTGAGATAATACTACCATTTATGCTAGGTGCTCGAGAAGGACGCAAAATGGGGGTGATATTTCCGTCGGCATCGCGGGTTTGATTGTATGCTTCCCTAATATGTGGAAGCTTTGGATTTCGCTGATCTTCTCCAGGAATTTCTGGAAAGTCAACAGCTTTTCCTTGTTTGAATTCAGAGTCGTCTAGACGGAACTCTGCCGCAGTACCAACATAATTACCGATTGCGGTTAAAACATTGGCTACTTTCCGTCTGTTTCCCACGTCGGTTGACGACTTGGTTAGGCTAAGTGAAGGCCGATTACTTGAAGTCTGCGCTATTTCGTGATGCTCTATCTCGGGAGAAGTTCTTCCACTACTGTTCGAAAGACTTTGACGCATCATTTCAATGGCACCTGGAGAGGGAGAGGGAGATGGTGATGGCTCTGGGACTATGCCGAGACCAATCCCCCGTTTTTGGAACTCGAGATGCTTTGACGCATTTTGGGATGCTTCCTCTTCGTCTGCTTCCATATTTGCTGCCAAGAGACGGTACAAAGACCCGAAAACTGCTAGGCCAGTGCCGACAATGGGTGCCCATTGACCTACGAACACGAACAAGTAAAGTCAGCAATGTATCATATTCCATATGAAGGTAGGTACATACCGATAGTTGCTATGGGCTCAGTTTGATATGCGACTTGTTGGCTGAAAAAATTCCTCTCCCCAAGAATAAGAATAGCCAGCACCGCGCCTACGAACACGGGAACTTCTATAGCGCTTAGGAAGAACCTAATCAAGCTGTTGACCTCTTTCATTTTTCCAACAGTTGCATTGTTGGTGCCCTCAATCGGCGCATCGATGGGTTCTTCTTTATGGCCGAAACGATTATTCCAGTTTGTCTCACGGATTTTGTTCCACATAGACACAAGTGAGAGTATAGCAGGAATGCAGCATGCGGCTGAGAGAAGAGTAACGGTGTCGAAGGTGAGTTTGCTCGGTGCGGGAATAACGTAAATATTATTCGCTGAGCCGCCACGCATTGGGGAGAAAGGGCCAGAAGTGACATCACAAGTAAGACCACATGTCGAGTCATAGGTAAAATTTCCTAGAGTGAAATAGGCTGGATGCCCGTCACTGTCGATTAAGCAAGGACTTGTGCTTACCCTGATGAATTCCACAGTTAAACTCAACAGACCTTGTAAGAAGATTGAACATTAGCAGATACTCATGAAACATTAAAGATTAATGCTTACCAGCGAATATCAATCCAGTCCAAAGAAAGATGGTATTTCGGCCAGGCGTTTCAAAAAAGTATGTTCGTGATAGCTTCACAGTTATCGGTGCAGCTAAAACACCTATGGAGCATAGTTGGAAAGCTCCGTATATATCCATGTCAACCGCACCTAAATCATAATTTGTCAAACAAACGGGACGATTTCTCTTTTGATGGGGTACTCACCATCCACGTGGACAGCTGCAAGGACTATTCCATGAAGTGCAGCAACGGCGGGGAAAAGCAATGCAGCTGCCAAACAAGCTTCTTTCAGCCATTGTTGTTTGCGAAGAAAAACACATGCTGCTACGAGAACATAGTATCTGTAGGAAGAAGAATCTAGATGTTAGGAACCTGGCGCTTTTTTGCAGCATTTTGATAGAGTGGGGTGGGGGTTTCTGGAGAGACTGGGAGAGAGATAGAAAAGCTTACAGAACCCGGGAACCTGGCCCATACTGACCAGATACAGGCCATGCGCATACGACCTGCAATACATCACTTGTAGCATTTGTGACGGTGTTATTATTGACTATGGTATTCTTCAATGAGGTCAAAGGGATCGCCGGCATGACCTGTTGTCTACTTTCGAACGAGATGAATTCATCGGCTTGCAATCAAGTCAATGATAGTATTAGATATCCTGAGGGCAATTGAACATGCATCGAAATCTCTCTTGTATAAGATATGAGAAGAAGAGAAGCGTTGGACGTTCTTAAGGCCAAATAAGCTTATCGGCCAAGAAAGCAATGTGTGTACCGGAGGAAATTGTATTTACGGCGTCATCCGTCATCCGTCATCCACTGTCAGAAGTACCCAACCCACCTAGACAAGATTGAGTGGCATCTCTGTAGCCTCATCGTTTTCAAAAGTAGGGCGGGTGTGGCTGAGGGCTTGGTATCCCTTGAAGGCAATTCGTAATCAAGCAGATCAAGGGGTGCAAAGTAACGAACGGGAGAGCTGAAGTTTCCATATTTACCTGGGTAAAGCAATGGATGTACGTAAATTTGGATCACCTGGGCTCTGGGGTACGTAGATGCAAAGATGATTGATGGTTGGTGGTTGATGGCCAAAAATGTAAAGGAACTCGGCTGCCTAAGCATCGGAAAGTTTGTTTGGAGTGATGGGAAGAGAGAAAGGATAGAAACGGGAGATGGCTTACTAAGGTTTGATTGCTTGGTAGAGAATGTTGTAATTTGATTGGTTCAAATGCGAGGGTGACAGCAGAAGTAAGAACATCCATGGATGAATGTTGCCTTCCTAGGTAGGTATCGAAAACATCAAGATATTACAAGTCAAATCAACCAACCGATATTGATATGGGATAAATACAAGGTTATCCATATGATCTGAGATGGATTATACTAGAAACCTCTGAGTTCATACATAACTTCAAGAAGAGAAGCTCTAACTAATCTAAAACCCCTCTCTTCGATACCTACCTAGTACATCCATGGATTAATTCTTTCTCTTTCATCCTCCCCAATGATAGAATAGATCAATGTCAGTCACGTGATAATACTTATCGCTTATCAGGTTTTCTGGTGCTTTCTTTCGGTGATTATTTCATTGGATGTAGAGTCAGTCACTTTGTCTCTGGTGCAATTTGATGTTTTGATCCGTATGCCCATTGTCATTACAGCACTGTACTAGTATATCTACACGTCTAAATTTTCGAAAACATCTAGATTCGTGTCTCAAATCATCATCCGGTTTTTTTCCTGCAGTCTCTACCTGCCCTCAGTACACTTTCACAAGGCATAAGAAAATCTGTACAAATCTACAATAAGCGTGATATACACACCAGAAATATTGCCAACATGGGTCAAGAAGCATCTCAACCTCAAATCAATCCAAATGATCCTCCCCACACGCTTTCAGCCCGTTCAATCGAAGGAGTTGCGGATTTCATCAAGAGTGGCAAAGCAAAGAACATCGTTGTTTTGACAGGAGCTGGCATATCCACTAGTGCGGGCATACCAGATTTCCGTTCACCAGAGACCGGTATATACGCCAATCTTGCCGAACTGAATCTTCCTTATGCAGAAGCGGTTTTCGATATCGACTTCTTCCGCGAAAATCCAGCTCCTTTCTATGTTCTGGCAAAAGAACTCTATCCTGGCAAATTCTACCCTACAGTATCACATGCTTTCGTTGCGTTGATCGAAAAGAAAGGATTGCTCAGAATGCTTTTCACACAAAATATTGATTGTTTGGAACGTCGAGCCGGAGTCTCTTCGGAAAAGGTCATCGAAGCACATGGAAGTTTCGCTACTCAGAGGTGCATTGATTGCAAGAGTGAATACCCCGACGATATGATGAAGAAAGCTATAGAAGATGCAGACCCAGCAACTTGTCTGGTTCCACAGTGTGGTGGTTTAGTTAAACCAGATATTGTGTTCTTTGGCGAACAACTACCGGAAGCCTTTCACACTCACAAAATGATTCCCGCTACGGCTGATCTTGTCATTGTGATGGGTACCAGCTTAAGTGTTCACCCATTCGCATCATTGCCAACCCTTGCCCCCGAGACGGTCCCAAGACTGCTGTTTAACATGATCTCCGTGGGCGATTTTGGCAGTAGGTTGGATGATGTGGCTATTCTTGGTGACTGCGATAGTAGCGTTAGGAAACTAGCAGATGCCTTGGGATGGAGAGACGAATTGGAAGAATTATGGGTTTCGGTTGGAGGGAATACAAAACAGAAAGAAGCTGAAAAGGCTGAGGAAGCCAGGCTTAATATGTCAAGAGATGAACTCTTTGAAGCAGATATCAAAGAGCTGACAGGTGAAATTGATGAAGCGCTAAAGTTTTCGAGTAACTATACACATAGAGTAAACGCCGATCTCCAGGAAAACTCGGCTGCAAATTTGGCATCCCCTACTTTAGCTCCTGAAGATACGCCGTCGCGACCCCCTCCAGATTTTGCTGCCGATAAGGTAAGAACTTCCCGGTTTGTGCCATGGCTCAACTTTTTGATTCAGGTGACTCTTCAACCAGCAGTACTAACTAGATATAGGGTTCGCTTCTGAAAGATATCACGAATGGAATACCACTGAAACAAGCAACGACTGTTGTTCGATCCACTCCAATCATAGACGAAAACCACACCGCAGCTAAATCCACGTCCGTGGATCTAAATTCCACCACTGGTGAGCGTGCTAAAGACTCAAGTGTTGTGCTCGACATTACTATGCCCCAAAATATGCCGAACTCATCCAATACCACCACAACTCCTTGATAATAGCCATCAAACCTGCTATTAAAGACCAAGGCCAGAAGATTGACAGAGTGATCATATGATGTAATCTGAACATCAAACTTTACCTCCTCACTTCACTAGGTACTTCAAGCGGTACATCTTCGTAAGATATCGTTAACAGAGCTGGCTCTGAGGTAGAAAATTAGCACGTACTTAGGAATGAAGCAAGAGAATTACCGTCAGTCGAGCCATTATAAATGAAATACGCTTTCACGTCAAATTGAGGATTGTGAAATCTATTTGGGTCCCATTATCACATGCTCTCGAATCAACTGACTTCATTTCAATTAAAAGTACGAGTTGTCCCAACCGGACTGATGATTTCAGTTTTCCTTGGTATGTGTGTTTATGATAACCTCAAAATATTTCATTTATTCCTAGGGCTTCTTTTCATAAATCAGAAAGTGTCAAACATAAAGTTGGGCGTGGTAGTAAATGCAGAATCGAATTTTACACCATAAACGTGTTTTGGAGAAGTTGCGTAGCAAATTCCGTCTCTTCTTCCGTTCGAAGGCCGACGAAATAGTTGCAAGAAATGCTCTTTAGTAAAATATGAAGTCTCCGGAAATGGAACCGTTGATTAACAGCGGCTGCCTCCACAAACAAAGAGCCTTGTCGCATTTTTTTGTCTTTTCACAAGAAAAGTTTTGGTCAACAATTTATGAGCACCATCGCGAACAGGATGTCAATCCTTTTGTGCACTTCAATTTAAGCAACTCATATTGTTTTTCGTGACATATCGAACATCCATAATACATCATGGCAGAAGAAAATGTCTACGATCCCGACCTTGAACAGGACCTCGAATTCTACGAAGGGCCAGATCCTGCCGAGCATGTTGGAATGCCAGCGGATATAAAAGCGCCCCGAGACCCCCTTGCACTTCATGATATTGGGTGGCGGCGTCGTCGGAAACGATGGTTGGACAAGGTCTGGACGTGGAATGAACCATTGAATCCGATGTATGAAGGTGTAAAAATTCTCTCAAGTCAGGGCGATTGTTTAGTAGGCCTTTGGAGAGCGGAAACGCAATTTGGGCAAAAGAATATAATTGTCAAGCAACGTCCTCGCTCGTGGCGTGATTTGAAAGACCCGATGGGACAAAAGTTGTCAGAAGAGTCAAAGCATTATGAGAATTTACAATCGCTACTTCCACCTGGTCACAATCATCATATTGTGAAGCTCTTCAAGAAAGCCTGGGTAGATGAAGGGAAAAACTATTTGAGCCAGGACGTGGGGCAAGTGGAAAGAATGATATTGGAATATTGTAATGGTAGCCTCGATGATTTAATAAGTTGGCACATTAGGCATCATACGATGGTCTCCGAACGAAGCTCGTGGGAGATCTTTCACTGCCTTGCTCGGAGTCTACTTATCATGAAACACGGTACCGAAAATCCGGCTGATTACCGTCGACAATATGACCCTATGGGCAACGATCTCAACATTGTCCATTTTGATCTCAATCCACAAAATATATACATCAAGAACTTCCCGCATCCAACACATTCAAGAGATAGAGGCTACGTGCCTGGTTCTTTTCGACGAGCGGCCAAAATTAAGATTCCTCAAAATGAAGAATACCATCGGAAACATTGTAATTTAGGAAATATCAATTCACGTGCCCCAGAACAATTGCGCGGGCGTGATATGAGGGACACAAGACCATGGTTGCAAAGTCGGGTCATTTATCACAAGGCTGGTCAAGATAATACACTTCAATCGGTCGTCTATACATCGAAAATGAATGTCTGGCAAGTTGGTCTGATCATGTTCTGTATACTCCACTGTAGGACATCGGTGAATTGGAACGATCTTGAAGCAAGGAGAAGTCATGGTACACCTAGACTGGTTTATGGAGGGCCTACTATAATGACCAAGACCCATCAATGGCAGAGGGTGAGCAAGGACCTGGAACTTCCATACAGTCGAAGCTTGCTATATGCTATCTACGAATGTCTTTTGATTGAGCCCTCAAATCGTCCAGATGTTGCAACGTTGTTTGAAACGACAAGGGCCGGCCTTGCTCAAGCTAACATTGAAGCTGGCTTGCTTCCACCGGATTTGGCGGCCGCTCAACCTGCCGCTCAACCAGAACCAGAACCAGCACCAGCTGCACCTCTCGCACCTCAGCAAGTACCTCTTCCAGCAGCTCCCCCCGAGCAAATAAATCCTCCAGCCGTCCCTCGAGTGGCTCCCGTTGTAGAGAATCCAGAATTAGACCTTGACCCCGGACCACCAGAACCCCGTCTAGGACCTGCACCAGCACCCCTACAGCCACCTCATGATCCTCCAGCCCCCAACCAACAAGCAGCAGAGCCCGCGCCCCCACAACAAGAACCGCCTGACCGTCCCAACGTAATTCAAGCCGAAATTCCTGACCCCCGAGCAGTTGTATATGCCGAGGCCGACGAGCATCTTCCTGCCTACCAGCTCGAAGCCCCCGAAGGCGAAGCCATGCTGCAGCCCGAATGGGGCGCAGGCCTCGAGCGTCCAGCACCCAACTATCCCGAGCCTCCCGTTTACGAGGAGTATATCCAGGCTCCAGCCGAACCTCAACCTCACCCCGACCCTGACATTCCACAGCCTAGAAATCAATTCCTACCGAGACTCCCCGCCGCAGCCCCTCGTGCTCCACTGCTTCCTCCAGCCCCACGTCAAATGCAACCCCCCCTTCTCAATCTCCCCAGAGGTCTCCAACTAGGACCCGATAATCCCGTACTCATAGCCGTCATCCCCCCCGAATATCTCCCCTCTATCCTCATCTGCCACGTCATAGAAAACGATCTCTTCCACCGACAAATCGGTAACATATACCTACAAAATCTACGCCCTAACACGTCATTTTATGAAATCAAATACATGCTGGTGGCTGAGGGATTAGGTATTGAGAGAATGAATATAAGGATTCGAGTAGATGATGGGGGAGCGCAGCGAGAATTGGCGGATTGGGAAAGGAGGAGGACGTTGGGAGATGGGGTGGCGGTGTTGGTGGATGATCCGAATGGATTGGTGTTTAGAGAGGGGGGGTGGGAACCCCTTTGATGGGTGTAGAAGTTGTGGTTTGTATATCACCTTGATATTGATAATGATCATGATGATGATGATAGATCCTCAGATGAGGAGAGCTGAGGTAGATTTTCTTGGACAAGGGTATCCATTATATGATTTAGAAATTGTCATATGTAATGCATTTTGAAGCAAGGAGCGCTCTCTGTTGAGCATGGAAAGAATGTAGAGTTCCTATATACTTCGTACTTCCGATGGTCATAAATTTAGAGTCGGTTCATGGTTTGCTTTGGAATTGGTGAGAAGTTTTGTATATATGCGGAGAATTCTGGCATATTGGATGAAAAATCTCCGATATGTGCTATGAATGTAACGATCTGTAAAACAAAACAACAATATAACGACTTGGGTTTTGTACATTGGACAACAATGGCCTTGTTTGCAGTATTCATTCATTGGGACAATGCCATTGTTTGCATAGGTGTTCAATTTATTCCTGATGTGTATTAATTTTACCGATTTGATTATCTCATAATATATCACGATATCATCCCAAAATTTAACATTTATACATCCCCACTATGGCAAACCCAAATAATACTCCAACATCTTTGGGTAATTAGGTGTTCCAAGACCTGTGACTGGATCCCATCTATCAATCATTAAGTTAGCACTCTATCTCCCCAAACACACTTCACATTACACAAAAACGGTGGGAAAACCAGAAGACTTACCCAGGCACGGCGGAGAATCCCACTGTACTGCATCCCGGATTTGTTCCATTAACAATATCATTCAACATGCTTGGATTAGCGTATAACGACGGGTTCAAGAAACCAATTGGTCCCTTCCCGATATTGATTCTCTCTTCGTTGATTCGATTGATGACAGCGGAAAAAATTGGTGTACTGGCTGATGTACCACCGCTGAGTTGAAAGTCGTTTCCGTTGTATATCTATTGCTCGTTAGTTAGATCACCATGTCAGAATAAAATGGAATAGACGCACAGCAATGTTATCTCCATTTGCGGCGACATCAGGAATGCCCCTTCCAATTCTGTTGTAGATACCTCCAGTGGTCCCCGCCAGCGCACCGATATCAGGTAATGTCTGAATATCCCCGGTGTCATTACTCAACGCACTATAGTACGGATAAGGTGGATTGTAATCCTCAAAGAACTTTGCTACGAAACTAGCTTGATAATCAGGGATTGGATAGATATTACTGAAACCTCCCCCGGAAGAAAAATTGACAGAGTATGGATGGCCGGCAGGATCGTAGACGGCGGATTCGGGGTCATAAACGGAATATCCGGGATAAACTTTTGTGGCGCCGACGGATGTCACGTATGGACATGTACCGGGCCAAGTCGGGTTGAAAATATTGAGATCAGGGCCGAGACAGCCGGTTGGGCCGTCGATATTGTCAGGATAGTCTAAATCAATATGTGAGTTTCTTTTACAAAGAAAAAGAAAGTTTGGCTAGAATCAGCCGATGTTTTTTGCTTACTTGAGACACCGGAATCGCCTGAGGCGAAAAGGAATGATACACCTTGAAGACCCAGTTTCATATACTCGAGACATTGTCGTTTTTGGTATGAAATTGGGAGGTCGGATTCTTGTCCACCGTATGATAGAGAAATTACATTGGTGGGTGTGAAGGTACCGCACATGAGTGATCCTGCCCATCCTCCAGTAAGTGGATCTGGGTAGGCTTGATCCAAATATGGATCGTTGCCAGTCTCATTATAGGCAGTGTAGTTGCAGTATGACTAGAAGATATGAGCTAATTGAATATTGACATTCGATCATATTATTGAACTTACTCCATCTAATGCATCTAAGAAAGTATTGAATCCGAAAGTGTAAGTATCATTCTGATTGGCTTGTACGATATAATCGTCAACTTGATATAGAGTGATTTGCTGTGGGTACAGGATCGGATAAGCAAGTTGAATATCGAGGTTTGCCTCCCCACCAGCGTAATAAGGATCGGTTGTCGATTGCATTCCACCATCGATGTTCGCTGGAATTGGATGTGTACCATTAGGAATGTGCTTTGTGAAGTTTGTGAAGAACAAATCAAGATCATTTTGAGTGTAAAATTGTAGCTCCGACTCAAAAATTCCCATGGAATTGTTTGGATTAGACAAGGTCGCAGGTGGTATTTGGTACAGTGCAGCAACACAAGCAGGAGTGATAGCAATATCACAAGTGCTCAAATCCGTGGCATTGGTGCCATTGTAGCTGTGCTTAGCATCTCGTATTAACCCATGTGTAGTCCTTTTGAATATTTCATGCTCCAACATCTCAGCATTTCGCTTCAACTTATTGCTTGGGTGTTCAATTGGCGCAAGGAGTTTGATACCGGGACTGATGTAATCAATGTGTTTTCTAATATCTTTGGGGACATGATATGTCTCGCATGAGGGCATAACACCACCAGTGATCGAATCTTCATACTCATGGTACTCGGTATACAGCAAATTTTCTGCTTCTTCAGCAGTCGCATAGAATGCAAACCATCCTTTGTTATCTGAATGAGTAATACGTCCGGCTGGGATACCGGAGTCAATCAGCCATTTGCGAACTTCATCTTCAGTTTGCTGAGTGGGACGAAAAGCCTCAATGACTTCTTCAGCAGTCCAATGTTGTCCGAAATGCGGAGATGCAGGGTCGGATCTATGAAGAGCTGGTTAACTCTAAATTCTCCTCTGTCTCGGTTGATGTTACTCACATCTTCATTAAATGATCATGTCCTTTATCGAGATTGTTTTGCGTCAGACCAATTCGCATAGGCAATAGCTTGTGTGACTCGACACGATCTTTTTTCGACCATCTCGGGTGTAAACTTTCCCTTTTCTCGTGGACCTCCAAGTGGCGTGGTACAACAATTGCACTCACTTCGAGTGTGAGAGCCACGAGGGCAACAAGGCCAGAGATCTTCGTTCTCACCATGTTAATGGATGAGATTAATTGAGGCGATGAATGGGTTCAATTCAAAAGGCTGAAGAACTTTCTCCATGATTTATACCTTGGCAGGGACAGCTGCATTTACCCCTCTCAAGATCTGCAGACCCTAGTTCCTTGACCTTGATGCCATACTGAATGAGGCAGGTCGAAATACCTCTCACAAGAGGATGCACGATAACATCCGAGTTAACCACTTGATAAGCAGGGACGTTGTTAGTTAAAGATGTAAGCTGACGTAGAATGAATTGATACCTCCTACATAGGAAAGAGCTTTATGGATGAAGCTAAATATTGACCATAGATTTCGTAACAGCTATGAGCTGGTCGAGCTTGAGCGGAGTTCTCAAGCAAACGACGTGCTTGAGAGACATATCTCGACATGTCGTGGCAGATCATTTTTAGTAATCGTTCCGTTGTTCGTACAAAAATGTTGTGTTGTGACGAGAGCTTGAACAGGGCACTAATCCATTCGCCCCACTCCTTGATAAGTGAACCTTACGAGGGCGTGTCTTTGATGATTGCCGGGTCCGTGTGCAAACACTTTTTCACACCAAAACTCACCCAAATTTACCCATTTTAAAATTCAATATTAAATCAATCAATATTATTATATATTTGAAATTTTATAAAAGTAATAAATTTTTATTGAAAATTTAATAATACAGTTTTAGTTTTCTTAATAAAGTTTTCAATTAAATCAAAATTTATATTGAATTTTTATGCTTAAAATTTTTATGAAAAATAATATTTATTTTAAGAATCAAATTTTTATATAGAATTTTATTATCAATTCAATTCCAAAATTAATGATTCTAATATCAAATTAATTATTGATTAAATCTCTTTATACATTTCAAATTTTAAAATATCATAATGAATATTTAAATTATTATATATTTATAAATATATAGAATAAAGTATGGTTTTGGTGAGGAAATTCGTTTAAATTTTAGTCCGGTAATCATCAAAGACACGCCCTCGTAATACCATTTATCGCTCAATACGAGAGCAATTTATATTGCAACGACATTGTAAGACTTACCACAAAGAGCCAAAAAGCACCTCAACATTATCGATGCCGGTGGTGCCGGTAACACGTAACAGGCGGTCAGGAAGCCGTTGATAACAACATGAGTGAGACTCTTGTCAAAAAAATTACTCGTGTGTAGGACGGGACGACAAAGAAATAGTTATCCCAATGGGCGTCATAACGATAATTTCTGAAGTTCTCAAAGATTCCAGAGATTTATGATTGTGTGAGACCAAATCCATGGTTGTTGTGTTGCCGACAAGGGTCACAACTAGTTATGTCACTCTATGATGCAAAGACATTTCCAACCCATCATATTCGCGGCAAGTCGAGGAGCAAAGAGCCTCTTCAGCATTATGACCTTCAAGGTGATCATAGTGCTCTCATTCATCAAATTCATCAAATAGAGTTCTAACAATATCCGTCCCATTCCGATGAATCATTCTTTCCCAATTCGTTCTCACCTCACGTCGGACTCTCTTCAAGACTCGATCTCTCATCACCACTCAAACGTTGATCTCTCTTTATCCCATGACGCAAATTCCGTAACTGGTTATAGTCTACTAGCCCGAGCATTGATGAACTTACTTACATGCCAGTACCTAGGTGTCTATTGTTCAATACAAAATTTTCTGTTTCCACATCTTTTTGTGTACACTCTGAGTTGAACACACACAATCTTTCAGACTCACATTCACCACTCCAGTTCATTCTTAATAACCTCAAGATACCTACCTAGGTACTTAAGCGTGCATTTATACTCAGTGAACATATAATATGTATTGAACAAATACGGACTGATAGCTTCATATTATAGTGACTATGAAAGAACTTCTATGGAAGCACGAGAATCTAAGCCAGAGTTATTCTCAATGAATCTGGCTAGGAAGCATATCCGACAATGCATATACTTGACATCTAACCAAGATAAGCATCGCTGTTCAAGAACTTCTTGATGTTTGGTCTGGTTTCCACAGCATCTACTAATTGCACTAATCTCGGATACTCTTTCAGTCCTTTTCGTCCATCTTTGGTAAGACTTTCGTCGTGGAGTAACTGATATAGAGCCATGTCTGCATATGTGATTTCATTGCCAATTATGAAAGGACCCTTTTTCGAAAGCTCCGAACCCTTCAAATGTGTTTCGATTGCGTTGAGGTATTTCTTCTGATCGCCTTGTTGATGTTTCGGATAGTCTTCTTTTTGGTTGTCAGAGAAGAAAGCTGAAATGAACAGAGTTCGCCCTGTAAATCGTTAGTGACTATTTTTCAGAGGGCATTTGAATGAAGGGGGTTCGCTTACAATCAACAACAATATCGCAAATTGCATCGGCCCAATATTTCTCATCTTCATTCTTCCCGTCATACGCGCCTAGCAATCTTGACCAATGCCTAAGGATAGCATAACTCTGTGTCAAGATTTTTCCGTCCGGCATCTCGACCACTGGTATGTTTCCCGTAGGATTTATCTCCGCAACTTTCCCATTTCTCTTATGTTCTGGCCATTCTTCGAATGTGTACCGAATATCCTTGAATGCAGCTCCTGCATCGATGAGCAACAATCGAACTACCTGACCTCGGCCTCGGGATTGGAAATCGAAATAATGGACAGTAGGAATGCCACCAATAGCTTTGTTTGCTGCACTTTCTGTGCCGTATGTAGAGGTTTGAGGCATTTCGTACGTATCTAGGTATGCAAATAGTTTTGAAGATTCGAGGTAGGGACGGCTTTGGCAATAGTATATATCGCGGAGTACGTAGTAGGATTAAGTATCCACAGGGGAATATGGGGATATCTCGTAGCTCAAACTAGTGGTTAATAATGACCATGTTTGCAAGAGCTACAGCCCTTAGCACAAACCTTCTTTTGTAATTCCAAATGCAATCATCTTATTCCTACCTATCTCGTTGAAAGGTGTCAAGCACGCCCTTTTGAAACCACGCATTCACAATTCCAAATGCAATGTCATCGTTGCAGAGCTACAAATGGTTGTCTGTCTCGTAGCTTCCTAGCCCCAATAGGATTAGCATCAAGGGACCAGCGGAACCTTCGACACTGCCTCCTACGAAGTGGAAAGTCTCGATCGGATCTTCTTGGTAATCGACAAGTTGTCATTCCATAAAATCTCCCCAGATCTCATTGAAAGCAAAGAGGTGTTATAGAGACGAGCATTTCCGCGGTAGTTCGAAGTTGCGCTTCTGATTCGAAATAGTATCGGACGAAATTCGGAATGTACTTCGAATTTTGTGGGACTAATTGGTTGATTCATAATGCAAATCGACCAATCACGGTGCTAAGAGCTCTGCAAAATGATCACTTCAACATAAGGTTACTTTAGCCGCCGCCACCATCCAAAAATCATATGATTTCCCTGCTGGCGCAATGGTAGCGCGCAAGACTTCTATCGAAGACTCGAACTTTAATTTGGGTAAATCTTCTGAAATCTTGAGGCTGTAGGTTCGAGCCCTACGTAGGGAGTTACCCTGAGTATCATCGGTTTGAATCCGTTGCTAGAAATCATTTTTTGCTCCCTTTTTTTTTTAGAAAAGGGGGGGGGAAGAGTTGCCGATTTTTTGACATCGATATCTAATTTGGCTGGTAAGCAGTAACATGGTGGGGTAAATTTGGACTTAAATCCTTCCGCACGGACATTAGTGGAGTTCGAATGTCCTGTCAATGTTGGTTATGCTTCTTTTTATCTTCTTTTATTTGTGGTTCACGAAGACTTGGCAACCTCGTCGAGATATCGCTCAGAATCACCGGAGAGCCAGCCGGTCCCTCCATCACTTTGTCTCTCCTTTGTCTCGAGATTTATCCCATTCTTTGGGAGATCTGTGACCTGAATTTTATCTTGTCACAAGTATTCGAATATTTGACGATATCTTCAAAGTGAGCCTAATTACCCCTTGCTAATCGACATTATTTGATACATCAAATTCAATGTGTCTGATCACCGCCATTTTCAACTCGAAATATCTACATGCAGTGATACTGTTACACTGAGTGGGTGCAATATCAAGCCCAAATGGAAAAGTCATCGAGATCCCTTGAGTTGTTATTTGTAACCGCGACAATCGCAAGTATCTTACAGACAAACAAACGCTCAATGTCAGATTGTTTGAAGTCGAATATCTCCTAATCTGGTAATTTTCAGCGAGACGTAGAGGTTGAGAAAGTTCCAACCCTTGCCCCAGTGGCTTTTGTTGCTGGGGGAAAGTTGTCACACAATTTCAGCCAATTATAGACCGATTGAACATCCGAGACACCGCAATCCCGCTGGGATTCAGGGTCATGGAACCGGTGCTGAGATAGTAGTGGGCATATACGGGAGACTGCTGGCATCCAGAAATAACGACTTTTGGGTGTAACTCCGATATCAAAGTAGAAGTACAGAACGATACTTCACTGCCATGTTCCAGCCTACTCCTTGGTCATTGAAAGGAATTTCCATTCGAGACATGGTCATCCATGACGCGATAGGATTGATTGGCCTACAAGGCACCCAAATAAGATATTCCTCTTCACCCCGCTTTCAGTGAAGCAAATGCAGGGATTCATCTATGTACTCTCTGTATGCTGTCCACCACCGATATATAAGTAATTGTGGCATATTCTGATCAAAGTTGGCCAGTTTGAACAATGAACGCCTAAATACCATCATCAACTCTACGTTGATCTCAGAATCTATTATACTGCCCTAATCTACAATTTGTTCGACGCATCCAGAGGTAAGCTTAATCTCCTATACATCATGAAGGAGAGAAAGCTAATCGAACGTCTAGACAATGTCCTCAATAACCAATGTCATGCGTCTCCTAAACAATGTTATCACTGGTGAATACCCAGAATACCTTCCACGCTCTAGTGCAGAAGTCATCACATTGCTCGGAGGGTTGAAATCCCGGGAAGAGGTTTACCTCTCGCATTATCGGAGAATGAAAGGAGTCACGAACCACGAATTGAAGAGGGTGTATGATTTTGTAGCAGCTTCTATCGTAATGGTCACAGATATTACCAAAGAGCTCATGGAGTTGGCTTCTATTGATTCTAGGGTTAAATCATTCCATGTATATGAGGCCCTCAGAATTCTTTATCTGGCATTCGGTGCCTTTCAGAGGTTGGCCGGCAAAGTCAAAACGCTTCCCCAGCCAGAAAAAGACCGTTGCTTCGGCTACGTGGGAGGTTGCTACAACTACTCCATTCTATTTCAAAAACTCCTCTATCCCGAAGACGAATGCGATCACCTCGAAATCTACGCCCAAGCTCTCAGGCACGATTTCCAATTCTGTTTCAAGATAGACACCGATCAGGATTACTCTTCGCCAGGCTCATCTCTAAGAAACGGATTCGAGAAAACGCTCAGCGCATGCATACCTCCTGCAAATCAAATACCTGTATACTGTCACTTAACAGCACAGCCTGACAAGCCGGTGTGCCCGCAGTTTTATCGAAATCCATATTTTTATGGACCAAGAAACCTTCGAAATCAGAATCATGAATCGAATAGAGACTATTTCAAGATGAAGGAAGATAGAGAGAGAGGGGTGTATCGCACGAAGGCGGCGACGACCAGTGATATAAGTTACAACCATGGAGGGAAAGTGGTTAAAGAACCGAAAGTCCAGGCAATGCGTCGACGGAAGCGACAGGTATGTGCGAAGATCCCCTTTCCCATCTCAATCTACCAGAACCATCAAAATAGTGTCGCACAGCCTATGTTCATGGCTAATATTAGATTATAGATACGCGATCTGGAGGCATACTCTGGGTAAACACACACAGCAGCATAAGGAAAAGCCAGATTCGGGCGTTGAGTGATGAGATATACTTTATGATTATGATAATGATAATGGAGATATACGACGAGCAGATAAACGACAAACAGATATACGACGAACAACCGTGGCATGATGAATTAGCATATTAGAAATATTTTACATGTACAAGATAATGAATCATGAACATCTCTATCTCTATCCCAATCTACACATCTAAATATCGACCGCCAATTCGTGCATGATACTTCAAAGTGTTCAACCATTCCTGCTGCCAAAAAATCGAAAGTTCCAAACACCATGTAAACCAGAACTTCTACGGACATATACATCCGGAATTCTCTACCCTCTAGTCGTACCGGCATCTCCGTAATTTCCACCAAGCCCAAACAGTGACATTCCAATTCCCCGGCCAAAACACCCCCAAAGAAACCCTTCCCCAGAAACCCAATCGGTGAAGGCTAGGCTAGACACTAAAAGCATAGTCCACGATCTAGGAAAATAAATTACGAATTTCAAGCGGCTAACCCGCCAACATTCCAGAACTTACTCATCCAACCCCTCACTTAGCCTCTCTTCCCCTGCCCCACTACACCCCTAAACCACCCTCTCCTTCCCCCCAAACCAAGTTTTCAGAATATTACACACAGACAGACATGCAAATATCCCCCCCTCCAAAGGCCGTTCAATCCCCTGCATCATATCCCTCCCTACCAAAATTCCAAGTCGCAATCATCTCTCCATTCCATCAAACCTACAACACCGGACATCCTTTTCGGAAGCCGCTGCATATCCCACTGCATGCATCCATCCATCTGCACGCCCTGCGGCTGGATTTTCTTTCTTTCGCCACGCATGGCGAATTTTTTCCACATGCTGATCGTATGATTGCTGCTGGGATTTTCTAGACCGCTTGAAAATCAGTGTAACACGGTGCAGAATTTTTAGAATGGTGGAGGGGGGCTTGAACGCCTCTTACACAGGGTGCTTCATGGGCTTCTGCAAGTGAAGAGTTGCCGGTAGGTAGGCGCGGCAAGTAGGTAGGAAATGCGAAGAATTTGCAAGTTCTCCCGGCACATTGTGTGATCCATATCCAGGCTTCTAGACTCAAGGTAGTCATAGTTGGTAGCTGACATTTGTGGTAATTTCGAAGATCACGATCGAGAAAATGGGAATGGAAAATGAGGGGCTATGTTGATTTAGATTTAAGTGTCGATATGATGGTCTATTGCAATATTTAAAGAGATATACAAACTCCTGTGCTGGTTGATGACGATGAGTCCATATGATGGGGTATCAATATCGTATTCATTTGCTAGCTAATATTTATTTAAAACTTAGTGACCATCACACGTAGCCACCACAACTCTCAGGATGCTGCTCCTCCTAATTGTGATCTTGATCCTAATCACCATCGTGCATCTTCCTTAATTCAAGAACTTCGTCACGAAAGTTTCCTCTAGCAAGCTCATCTCTCAACCATTTTCCTTCCCCGTCAAACAATTCTTCATATACATATGGAGGAGCCCATTCCTCTTCCTTGATCTTCTTGCTCTCGTCCTTAAATTGGTCTGGGATTTCGATGCCCTTTTCATCGCTAAGCATGCAGTTATTTTTAGCTTCCACAATCTTCACATCATCAAATTCTTTCATGGTAACAGGCAAGTTTTTTGCGTCTTCATCTTCCCAGATGCAACATTGATGCTCCTGTGCGCCTGAAGTAAGAAGACAGGGACCTGCACTGCTGGGAAGTGGCCGTAATGATGAGATACAATGCTCGTGCTCCCGAATATTCTTCGACATGATGCATTTCTTGTAGTCGGGATGATAATGCTTCGAAGTAAAATGGAGTGACCACTCGCAATCGTCCTTTCCACGATCGCACAATTCTGTAATAGCTGACAGGTTTCTCTTCTTTTGGTATCTCTCCGAAAATATTGTAGGGTTGCTCCTGAGAAGTGGATGTGCGGCCGACAGTCTCGAATGTTCTGCGTCTTTCGCCCGACTCTCCTCGACCTGCTTTCGAGTCCAATCCAGCAGGCGTAAAGCGCAACGTATGCCTCCTCCATCCCGATCCGCTAATAACTCCACGAGATCATCACTGGGAGCACAGAATTTGCTACTCTCCATGGCCAAAGAAGGAGACCTGGTGGATGATCTAGCAGTGCTGTCAGAATATCCCAATTCACTCCGAGTATCACCAAGGTCTCTTCGACGAAATTTCCTACGATCAGGTGAGGATAAGATTCTCTGTGGGTGTATGAGACTGCTCTGGATAGGCCTCGGTGTTCCTTTCGACGCGAGATTCATGATATTTTTCCAGGCAGCATCCAAATCCCGAGATACCAGCCTCGGTGTGAAACTGTCATCTTGATTCAATGGCCGGGGGTCGCTCATACATGGCGAAATGGGTGGTGTGTGCAAGCCTCTTGGTAACGTACTGTAATTCGTTGCTCCAAGTGGAGACAACATTGGGGAGTTTTTCTGCTTGCAATCTTTCGTCATGCTCTTATAGATGCGAGAAAATAGAGACCGAGCGCTGGAAGATTTCAACCACTGTTGTTCATCAGTGTTGACATTTCTTTCGGGTATTTGAATGTATTTAGTCGTTGCGGGCTGTCCATCCAAATATTGACATATGCCCCAAATCCATAGAGTAAAATTATTCCTGCCATGAAGTTTTTGATCTCTGATGTTGCCCCCAAATGTCCAAACTTCATTGTCGGGTCCGCGCATTTTTGGAAACCAACATACATGAGAAACCGGTACCGATCCTGTTTCCATAGTTCGTAGGTTAATGACAGGAACGTCATTTTCGTAATCATCTCTCTTGGCAGTAATGAACAGCCAAAATCGGTCACCAGGTTGGTAGTCAAATTCAGAGTCGCTGTGAATCAATGCCATGCCATGAGCATCCATCTGCGTGGCCTCCGTATCGATCCCTGCAGTTTTGTAGGCAATACTCCCATCCTTTTCGATATCTTGTACGGGCATGAAACAAACCGAATTCTCATCTTTGCCTTTGAATCGTCTCACAGGTATGAGTGACTCGTTTGCAATATTCAGCACCGGAGACTGAACGACGACTCGATAACCTGGCTGAGCCCATTTTGAGGGCCGCGCTACAAGAACATACCTACGTACTGGAACTTTGCAATCCATAAGGACTGCTACTATTCGAAATGCTGAAGCTTAAGCTTTTTAAAGCGGAGTATGTGGTAAACATTGAAGCGACCTGTTGACGAAATTTTGCGAATCATTCAGTATTGATTACTTGTCATATTCCAATACCATGTGCTGAAAGGTAACCTTCACATAGGTACCCATGTTACGGGTGTGCCCTTGCATGTGGCTGAGATGCTCGCACGCATCTTTTTTGTTGACCCAATGAGAACCATTCCGGCTGAAGGGCTCCTACACCGCAAAACGCGCTGGCAAAAGAAATATTAAGGAATGCTTGCAAAATAAGCATTGAAAAAAGCAAGTTGTCTCTTATGTATTCGCGCCAATTACCGCAAATGTGTTTCAGCCCCGCATGTGCTTTGGTTTAGGCCAGTATTTTTTGTCTCTGGTGCTTTACTGGCTGTCTTGATTGTGAAGGTTGTCCCTGCCGTCATTTCAACATCCACCAATCTCCATTGTATTTTGGTCGCCGAACCCGTCCCGACTCTATGGTTTCTTGGACTGTTCCGTACCGTCATCCAGCTCGGCTCCTCCGAGAGCGTCTTCCCCCTTCTCGCCCTTTTCAGCAGAATACTCCTTGGGATCAATATTCAGTTTAACCATCATTGCATTTACCCACTCCTCCATTTGTTTCTCGTCCTCTGGGTTTGTTTCCTGAGCGAGCAATCCCATCTTTGCGCGATATCTTTGCCTCAGGTCATCGACCGTCGAAATATCGAAAGCCCATAGCAGTCCTCCACTGAGCATTACGCTGATACTGGCCACATTTATAGTTGCTACACTCAATGCTTCCAATGCCTCCATAGATCCATCCACTTCATGAACCCGATTACTAGGTGTGTAGAATTTTGGCAGCATCATCTTATATTTTCGTACGAGTGCTCTGCGAGTGACGAAAGCCGAAAGACCAACGAATGCTGCACCACCTATGAATAGACCAAATTGACGCCGTGATCGTTGAGAGAAAAGTGAAGAGTCTATTGCCGTGGTGGGAGGTGCTGGTGGGGGGCTTGTAGAGGAGGATGTGGGTTGAGATTCGGCCATGGTTGAGGGATCTTGTACAAATGTCATTAATGGATTGGGGACGGGCGCTTTCCTTACGGATCGAAAGTTTGAGCGGATGCTAGAATTCGAACGCTGCAGCTAGAACGTTTATAGGTTCAAGGAAGCTTTTCATGTTCTGAAAAATTATGCTTATGCGAATAAGGTTTAGCGTCGTTCTACAGCGTTGGTTGTATAACTGTAACCTAAATTTTTAGAGTTTCTCCGGTCGACCTGGCCGGGCTATATATATTTTCGTGTCAAAATTCCCATATAAAAATATTCAATCCGAGAAGCTTTCATTTGTGAGTTGTGTTGTCTGCAAAGATCTATACTAGATGGCGTGAGAGTCCCTCCGCCAGTTAGCTAGTACTGTCATGATGATCTTTTCATTTTCGTGTGAATAGAATGATCCGTGATTGTGTTTGTATCTTTGATTTGTATATCGATTTTAACATCGTTATTCGTGGGTATTATATATCTGCTGAGTGCTCTATAAATTTACATTCTGTTCCTCCCATGTTGGTTTACTTGGATCCATCTTCCTTTCCTTTCTCCTTTTCCGTGCCAGTCTTTGGAGATTTCAGTTCCTCGAGTTCCTTGGCCAATTTCTCTTTCTCTCTGCTCAAATCCATATCCAGGACAATTTTTACCTCCGGGCAATATTCCAGAATATGCTTTCTGCGCTCTTTATTATCCCAGACGGCTGGGATCAAGAATTTACCACTTCCTATTAGATGATAACCAAAGGGCTTCTCATACCACTGGCTTTCCACGCTGAATTTGACTTCTACATCTGGTCCAGGCATTTTGGCAGCATTCGATGCTATGAGGCGATCGCATATCCAACGATCTTCCCACGGAGTACCGGGCTCACGAACTTCTTTTTCGAGAATTTTAAGGATGGGAGGGATATGCCTGAGACTCAGTCCTCCATTTCCACCCTTTACGGCCATATTCCATGGGGCACCTACCCAGGAATAGTCTTTGGAAATCCAGTCTTCTATGTTATGCTCAGAGGCTGCGCATATCATGGAGTCGCTTTGAAACATCAGAAGCCACTCTGCGGGAGCGAGAAAGTCTCTGTAGAAGGTCAAATCTGTGAGAGTCATGCTTATAGTCTCTTGGTCTTTGATGGCATATTTCTCAGGGAGCTCGGTGATGACTAGTTTTCCAGTTTTGACATGGCCGGAAAGAGATGAGGAAGAGGAGATCAATGCGTTAGCTTCAGGGGTTCCAACGAAGCGGAAAACCCACGGTGCGGGTAAAACAGATATAAAATGTGCGAGAAGAGCAGGCAAATGAGGTAAGGGCCGAGTTTCGAGAAGGAGAGCAACCCGCGTCTGATCCAATTCAACTTTCGTGTTAGTCGAACCTCCTTTTGAGCCTGTCGAAGCTACACCAGTTGAAGGATTTGATTCTGTCGCTATAGAATCGCCCACCACGCCCGACCCTCCTGGTGCTAGTTTGTCTAGGTGGAATTTCGATATTGATGACAAGTCGTATTGATAGTAAACAACTAACATGAGCAAACTTCTGCGAATAGTTAGAATTAACGTCTAGCGTGGTACGTTGAATGTACAGAGGAGATTCGCAAATTCCTGGGAATCAAATATTGGGTCAAAATCCCCAGACAAGATTGGATCTTATCGCTGAGCGCGCAATCCCCTCAGGTACAAGAAACAATGAACATACAGTATACCAATCGCGAAAATGAAACTCCTGTGCATCCTTCTATTCCACAGACAGGACCCCGATTCGTGTGACGGCGCCATAGTGGAAGTATTAACGAGAGTGTTTGCGATCCCTTACAGAGGCGATATGTATCGAGACGTAGATTTCATACATATGAACTCGAAACTCGTAGACGATGAAGGGGGACTTTACGTGATATACAAAATAAACATTATGGGAAAAAGAAGAGAGTGTTAGTAAGGGGAACTTCGTAGCTTGGCTGCGCAGTATTGTAGTAAATAATCGGAAATATCAATGTGGGTGTGATAATCTTTTGTATAGTAAGCCAATCTGATGCGATGATAATGCTGGTATTATGCGCCATATGAAGTACCCTTGGGGGCAACTTGGGATTCGAGGGGGGATATTTATGTGATTCTTCCGTATCTTGGCACTGAGTGATAGGTTGAAAGGTTCAGGATTTTGTGGATAAACCGCCTAGTCTGTATATTTTTGAAATTACGATTGATCTTCTCAACGATTATCCATCCATGTTTCATCCCATATCGATGCATTTACATCAAACGAGTACGCTAATTTCGTACCAAGACTCGTATTCTGCTTACCTACTCTGTATTGAACTCTCTGGTGTCCCTACAGCTAAGAGTTCATGTAATAAGTAGGAAGGCATTGATAAGGGGTATGTTATGGGTCCTCGATATTCGAAACCACTATGCTAATTCTCAAAACTGGATGGTAGAATATCGAGAATCTGTAGTTGCAACCTCCAGATCCATCCATCGTCTATCTCTGGAGCTTCAATCTTTGAATTACGAATCTTTTTGTTCTGGTCTGTGGTGTTGAGACGAAACCTAGGAATAGTAGATCCTTCTCTTCGACATACATAGGTAATTATTAGTTACCATCGCCCACTCTTGCTTGTTCTCCCGGGGAGAAAAGGGATGGCTATTAATGCGAGACCAGTAGTAGCTGAATTCATTCAAACAGTTAAATGTTCTGTTTAATGGCGCCGTCTAGCAGCATCGGAACCGTTGATTAACCAAAGCTCATGTCGATTCTTTATATCATGAATGATGAGATCACCTACTGGGTACTTATCTATTTCTCCACGTTGATCTTGTGCCTAGGCAATTGCCCTATGAGTAGACATATTGCTATACGATAGGACACTCCACTTGGAATCTGCTTTCGAATCTGAGGTTAAAGAAAAACTTGTTATCGCTTCCGGCCATTTGGTAGGTGTTTTGGGTGGTAAATCGCTGTGTTTAGCACGCTTCACCCTGGATTGAAATCCTGAACAGGTTGACGCGGGGTTGCAGACGCTATAAGTTTGTCATCATCTAACGCTAAAAAGACGTCATGGCTACGTCAACAGCCCAAAGTGCAATGTTCACATACATTTTCTTATTTCTCCAGCTTAGAGATATTTAGTAACACTCAACAAAAACCCTTTTTCAATATCTCAATCATAATCAATCATTCAATATGACCAATGTCTTAATTGTAGGTGCCACTCGTGGGTTAGGTGCATCACTTGCGAAGAATTACGCTTCGCAACAATCAACAACCGTTTATGGAACCACTCGTGCTGCCACTGGCCCATCCGATCTGAATGAAAAGATCGTATGGATACCCAATATCGATGTTGCAGAAGAAGGAGTAGGTAGAAAATTGGTGAATCAGTTGGGTATGCTTGGAGGTGGTGGTGGAATGGTCGAGGGTGGACGAGTTACATTTGATGTCGTTGTATGTCCGCTCACTTAACCCAGTCCCATCAGAAGGAGAATAGGTTGAGGGTGTTGCACAGCAGCTAAATGTGACTGATTAAATCTCAGATTATCACAGCTGGATATTTTGCCACAGAAGACTTTGTAAATGGTCCAAAATGGGATGAACAAGTGAAGATGTACAGTGAGTACTTTGCAACATCTTCATCATGCCGAATCTTGCGCCCGTAAAGACTAACGTTGTGCCTCTAGCAACATCAGCCATCTCTCCTCCCTTCATAGTCCAATCTTTGTTCCGTGCCAAGAACATCACCAAAGGTTCCAAAATTCTTCTCATCTCCTCCGAATCGGGCTCAATTGCTTTGCGACACGAGAAAGAAGGTGGCGGTAATTATGGGCATCATGCCTCGAAATCTGCCCTCAACATGGTTGGAAAGCTCCTTTCGCTAGATTTGAAGGAGCATGGAATAATTGTATCGATTCTGCATCCTGGATTCATGCGAACAGAGATGACAAAAGGGGTAGGATTTGATAAATATTGGGATGACGGGGGGGCAGTAACGCCCGATGAAGCTGCGAAGAGCTTGGTCGAATGGACAGAGAAGCTAGACATCAGTAAGTCGGGTCAATACTGGGCACCAAGAGGTCCTCGAGATATTGGTACCGCGGATGTAACAATCGGGACGGATCTGCCTACACCTCTGCAATTACCATGGTAGTGATGCTGACGGGATTGGCACACGACGCTTTATGACGATTTTGATAATGAATAGTAGCGCTGCTTCATTTGAGGTAACCTCTCAAATCTGACTAAGTATCACAGTTTGAAACATGACAGTTCAAGCAAATGTAACAGTGAAAAGCGGTATAAGATTTGACATGGCGGATAATTGAGAAAATAAATAATGGCACGGAGAAGTTAGCTGGCTAGCAGTTTTTCCATGAATTCCTCACATCGCTGTTATTTTCTGGGGCAGAAGAAATACAACAAAGCCATAGTTTACGGCAGTGCTATTCCTGAAAACACTCCGTATTGTGGTACTGGAAGTTTCCTTTCGTTTTTGAATCCTGTTCCGAAGCATTCGCAAAAGTTTAGGATACTTCCAACCTTTTAGTTGTTGTTTTGCTCACTTCGTTAATATTCATACGCATCTCTTCTCGTTTCGATTCCTAGACTGCTTGGCTTGGAGATGTTTTGCCCCAAGACTTGTCCCCTTCATGTGGGCTGAAAAGAAAGCTTTAGCTCGTCTTCCGCTTGCTATGAAAGATGATGGTTACAAAGGAGTAAAATAGCATGTCTATGCTGATCTATAGTTATAAGCTGTGACAACGGAAGTACTTTGTTCATAGCTGGCGGCCAATCATTCCTATCAGGCATGTCGATACCCCTTATTTGTGAAGCTTGCTACCATCAGCTTGGTTGAATTTCTGTTGAAATATGCAAATATTGTTAAGTAACACAGGTAGTGTGATGATTCATGAGTTATTTGAGCACACATCACGTATACCATTATACGAGCCTCTGATGCCGTATGATGTTTGAGCGCATTTACTTCTAACTGGTCGCCCTTTCCATTTCGAGAAATCTCAATTTCAGCTACAGAACTGCAGTAACAATTAGGGACTGTACTTTATCTTTGTCTCAATCCCATTTCCTAATGTTTGAGTCCGCCCACTCACACTTCCAAGCTCCACGCAATAGGACCACAGTCATCTTTCTTTCCAGAAATTCACTTGATCACAAGATCATTCGCTGATCTTAAAACAAAAACAGTCATGAATTATGGAATTCAGTAAAGCAAATGTATATGCAGTCACAGGCGCATGCTTTATAGTTGTAGCCGCAATTCTTCTTTACTTTTCTTTCCGCCAACCTCGTAAGACCAACAACAACAACAACAACAACAACAACAACTCTATTTTGAACCTTTTAGAATTAGGGCAAATTCCAAGAAGTCCTCGACCAGCACATATTCGGCAACCGAAATTTTCACATTCAATACATACTCGAACACCAGGACGCTCACGTTCCACACATACTCGACAAACAAAGCGAACGCATTCAACACATACTCGACAAACAAACCGAACGCCTGTAACATACCCTGGCCCTCCAAGACAGATATCAAGCAGCTTTGAAGAAAGAAGCAAATAAATCATTACACGATCCGTGCAGAATTCTCAAAGATGCAGCACAACACTAAGCAAGGTCTAATATTCCTTGCATTCTTGATCGTCTGTGGAGGAGGTATCGCCACCGCCTTTGTCCTTGTGCGCAACTCCCATAACAAGCATCCGCAGTCCGGAAAGCGTGAAATGGCAGGCATGAATCCATACAATATCTACGCCAGGAGTCTTCCTACAAACGCTTTGACTTCTAGACATAGTGTACCCGAGAGAAACGAATCCACCCAACTTCACCCCTCCCATACCCATCATAACACATCGGCTCAAAATCGCAATAGGCATCGCTCATTTACTCCAGAAATAAAACTTGATAATCCAGGCAGTCAATTTGTCACCATTCCGACTACTACAGCTACATCAGCCAACGTACAACCGTTATCAGCCGCTGCTACTAGTAGTGCTTCGTCTATCGATATTTACTCATCCTTCACAGTGGAAACCTTGAGTACTTTATCGGCCGCAGCAGGATTCCAGAACACTGCTGCTTCGTCATCAGATTCAAGTTTCGACGCTGGCCCGATTTCCACAACTCCATCGAGTCCGCAGCCATTGGCCACGACTGTTAGTAGACACAGCCATCCTCGTAAGTTTCGAGGTTGAGGTTATGAAGTGCGGAGCTGGTGCTAAGAGAGTGGAAGGGTAGGAAACAAAGGGGTTTTCTCGGTCACACAGTAGTGGTAGGACCTCGTGTAGATATTCAGTGATAGAATTCTTGGGAAATTTTTAGATATGTGGATCTGGATGGCGCTTAGACTAGGGAAGGATGGTTTTAGGGATTAATAGCTCATCAGAATTTGATATACTTGCATTGCTTTTTAACTACCAACTATTTCAACCTTCATGGTGTCCTCTCCCCAGTTAACTTTTTGATGGCTAGCGTATCCATATTGATTCATAAGCAAGTATATCCAGTTGTTGACTCAGATTTCCAATCAGTCATCCAGCCCTGGTCTATTGGGAGTCATGTACATTGTGAATGGACTCATTTCTTGAGTACTTAAACTCATCAATACTCCCCATTTCTCGACAATATCACAATCTCTATTCAACATTTCCAATTTTCCATTCAACAAAGCCTTTCAATCAACCAAATCACATTTTCCATCTTCTGGGTCCCAACTTTAAGAATTTGAGTTCTTTGGTGTCGCAGGGTATTGCTTGATAGTCCTCACATTTGCAATACATTAGCTGAACAACATCTTCAAAAGCCTTCCTAGCTCAATCTCGAACTTCATATCCAATTTCTAGCGCCTCTCTCACAACGAAAGTTCCGGTCTCGAGGTCAAAATGCCGGAATTATTGAGGGCGTTCCATGTTGCAGTGTGCGCGGTAGCCATTTTGGCTGTTGTTGGTTTTCTATTGTGGAAAGCAAGAAGAGCTCCGGTGATCCCGGTGGTACAATATAGTCAGCCAACCATGCCTTCAGCTCCTGATAGACAGAAGTATTCACAGGAGTCTGGAATTGTCCATAATATTTGTTGATGGCGATGCTGGCATGTTTTGGTTATATATGGGACGTTGGGATGGAGTACTGAGTGACAGTGGCGTGCTCTTTATGTCTCGCCGGTGGTAGTCGGAATGCGGGTTTTTTTTGAATGTGTTTTTGAGAGAGGAGAGTTGAAATTCACATAGAGAGGGGACACGTGAGCTTGGTTGTACGAAGTAGAAACATATCTTCTTAATACATGATCTAGCTGCCTTACTGATAATCATACTTTAGCTCATCAACAGTCTTCTCTCTTTTATCTACGAAGTAAACTCTAGAAGATCAATTAGATCCATTTGTGGGGATATAGACCATGGAATTTTACTCTCCATTAAAGATTCCACCCGTTCCTTAAATCTAGCCAAAGTACACCACTTTACACTCCTCGTTGCGTTATCTTAAAAGCAATGACTCGCAATTAAATTTCCTCTATGAATCATCAACGTGACTGATACAAGTCATTCTTCATATCTCCAATATATTAGGAGTCATTGTTGTCTTGGGGTAGACCAATTGTTAATGCACCTTTTGAGTTCTCAATTTATCAAATTCTCAACACCACAACTTACTTCTCAAAGTCAGACTCTAACTTCTTCGTTAAGAAACTATCACATACTACACATTAAATGTCTTGTCTTTCGAATCTGCTAACTTGAACTGATAGAGCTCGTATCACTAAACCACCAAACTTTACATCTTCGCGTCCTCACATTTTTACATCCTCCACTTCTCGTCACTTTATCACTTGGAAGCATTCTCAATTTTAATCCTCTCAGCATTTCAGCTCACTAGATCTTGACTACTACTCATAACACCACGACTCAAACTTAGGATCCCACAGCCTTCAATCAGAGTACACTCCTCACGGTTCCGCACCATGTCGCCCTCCGAGAAACTGCTCAATTCCACAAATTCCACTCAGAACGCCAAAGAGATGCCTGAAGATTTTTCCCTTCTGTTTGAACTCGTTTTCGTAGTAGGTGTCGTGCTCATCGGGGGTATTGCCATGATTATTATGGTATATACTATTGAGAGTTATAGACACAAGAAGAGAAAAAGAAAGATTCTTGTCAACAAAGAGTTGCAGTAACTCAGAGATTGAGGGCTCGCACGAGGCACATGTAAGAGTGGCATTAGTCACTTTTGGGAGTCATTTGAAGCAGTTCTTAGTAGCCGAAGTTCAGTCCGAAGAATAGGAGTCACTCGTTTCCTGAAGGCTATTAATACTTTCAACTCTTTCGGGGCTTTAAAGCTTGCCAACACTTCCTTCAACACTGCAACACTGCAACTTTCAAGATCCAAATTCCAGCATCCTGCCATACTATACTGCTCAACCAACATAGATCTCAACACTCAGCTCACTTGGCTCGGCACTATCACGTCATTCGGGTTTGAAGTGTCGTCGTCTCCACAACACACTTACCTCACATTCTTGCCTTCACCTACTTTTCAATCTTCGCTAGACTTTACTTTACAATAGGTAGTTACATCAACAGTATAAGTCAAATTTTCACGAAAATATCACCACAAATTAGACAAATAGGAGTCATTTACCAAAAAAACACAACTTATTCACTATGAGCTCCTCAAAATTCAAGTCGGATGCCACCCACCCCAAAGAGCCAACCCGAACGTGTCCAAATGCGAAATTCAATGCCGTTAGTTTATACCAAGTCGGACTGACAACACGCAGAATTCAATCTTGTTGCGAAGCGTGCCGGAGACGCGATGATGAACGGAGATGGATAAATTATCACCATGAAAAACCGCGTCATTTTCGGTCGTACCGTAGAGTTTGGCTTGATTTAAAGATCAGGTATGACATAAAATACCTAGTTCTTGGTATTGGAGGCTGTTATGCTTGTTGGGTTTTGTTACGAGGATTTGATTAACGATGTGTTTGGCTATGATCTCTTCGACGAAGAACGGAATCATGAAGTTGGGTGTTTGGATCCATGGAGATCGTGTTTCTTTTCTTTCTTTTGTGTTGTTTGCGTGACGTTTGGAAGATGGTGATTGGGCATCAGGGTGTTCTTTCGGAAAAGCTACATTGGAATTTTGAGAGGACTTCTTGTGTCAAGTAGATGCCCGGATATTTAGGAATAATCAAGAATCTCATCCATCGTTTGATTTCTCGCTCCCATTGTTGATATTCATGGGCAATCAAAGGTTAATTATGCTTTGGATTGTCCATTAGACTTTGTGAAATGTGGTTTGGAGCCTGTGAAGTTGATCTCAGATATGTCCTTGGTTAAGCCAATATCGAAAAGGGAAAATCGAAAAGAACAAACACTGTGATGTTATACCGCGTCATAATGAATCTGAAATTAGAGTGATTTTGTTTTTTCAATCTCGTTTATGAGAAGCTACCTTGTTCGTTGGAATTCCAGAGTTCTCAAGGATCACCGATGTCCCAACTTTCAACACTCCATCGACTCGATTTGCACTACGAATTTCGCTATCAACCAGTTCAGCTTTTTTGATAGCACTGCTTGATAATAAATCTCTCTTTGGCGATAAAGAATAGACCAAGCCCTCACATCTCAGCTCCCTTAGGGCATCAGCCTACCACGTCGATTCATCGACATCCGATATATTCTTACCCTCGCGCTCTCACGAATGTCTTATGGAAAGCTCGCTAGATACTAAGAATTCATATCAAAGATCACAACCAGATTCACAACGAAATCCAAAAACTGTTTCGAAACCAGCGACTCGCGCTAGATACGAAATGGAGAAGAATCTCATTATTGGACTAGCAGTCGGAGGTGGACTTTTCGTTCTAATGTCTTTCCTCATCTGCTGTTGTAGGAATAGGGTTGGTGGTAGCAGGTATGGCGGTGGCGACGGTAATTACGGCCCCGATGGTGGTGATGGTGGTGACGGTGGTTCTTGACCATGGAATTGATCCCTCGCATCCATCTCAAATATTCTCGGGCAAGAAATATTCTGATGCGTCTTGATCGGCGGGCTACTGCGTTGAGTTCTCATAGTGCTTGGTGGGGACTATTTTTCCATCACAGTTTTCTTTTATGTCTATTTTGAAAAGGCAGCATAGGGGAATTGTGAGAAGGGTGTTTGAACTAATGGCATCAGAGATCAAATCTTCTCGATATTAATTCTGGGCCACATTCACATCCTGTCAAACCTACTCTCCCTTCTAGTCAATCAGCGTTCAGTATTCACAAATTTTGAAGAAGGAATTAAATTGTCTTATAATTACCACTATTTCAGTTCCAGTGACCATAGTGATAGCTGTGAATAATCATTTAAGAATAATCATGGATATGCGCCGTGGCGTTCCGAAAGTTGCTCGGTTCTTCAATTCTCTCTGTGTTAGTCAAACGTCAGACGAGGATTGAAAACAACTCAGTGACTTTCGTTTGGTGATATTGTTATTCACCAAATTCTAATTATCGTCTGTTCAGACTAGGCTTTACAGATTTCAGAAAGTTGATTTACAGATTAGACACGTCGATGACGACATTTATTTGTGTGTAGAATTTCTCAGTCGTTCTATTGCGTTGGAATGTTTCCTGGAATGTAAAAATGTGGTGGTGAAGGACTTGACTTGACAAAAATCGGCATCTTGTAACCTCATGTTAGCTTTCTCATAACCTAACCACTTTATATATTTTGCATCCAAATGATTCCGCATCTTTCTAAGATCTGTGAAGATTGTTAAGAAGTCATATTTTTTGTGAACTTCCTGAACGTCCCAAATTTGGAAGGCGCATTTTTCATTCCTGCCTGCCCCTTTTCGCCTCCCCAACCTCCTATTTCTTACCCCGATTTCTATCATGTATCCATATAAATGTGAAGAGAACACGTATTTTTGTACATTTTTTCATACACTCTTCAAAAGCTAGTAGGTAAAGTCATTACACTTGCAATCGTACCTTCTCATTCTTGAAAGTCACCGCGATCCCGAGAAATATTGTTCGCCCTCAAGCCACCTTATCTTGAGACCATATTAGACATGGACAGCGCTACATCCATCACATATCCAAATCATAGTAACAGCTCGATTTCCGGTCTTGTTTTCTGCGTATCAGGGGCAGTGTTAGTGTTCATATTGATATTCGTCTGCTGTGGATACGGGTGTCTCAAGAAGAGGAAACTAGAGGCTCAGATCAGTAGAGAAGAGAAAGCACAAGCTAGAGCACGGCGACTGGAGCAATTTGCCATGATCAAGGTACCGCAGAACGCTTATCTGGCAAAGTCTTGATGTAACTTCGTGGGCAAGGAGGAAAGAGTTTTGGAGTTATAACTATGGAGGAAAAGGGGATTGTTTCATGGAAGATCAGAAAAAGAGAGTTTTTTGCTCCTCGCTAATGAATTACCCACATCATACGACTTCACCGATTCTTCGAGTGAATATACGACATCAGGCTACACAAGTACAAGTGTTATACTAGATCAACTTCTACTACGATCTCTCTACCTTTGAGATTCCAGTCGCATCCTGAAAGCGTAATGGTTTGCAAGATCTACACCCGCACCAGCATCATTGTACCTGAATCATAACTCCCGAACGCAAATCGAGATCTGAAAAGCTTAAATCAAGCTTGTAAAGCTCTTCAAATCATTGCAATCATACTCTTCGAATCCTCGGATATGCACTTTGATAATCCTGTCGTCATATGGTGGATGGACGAGCTGCTGGATGACTTCTACCCCGACAATCGCCAGCCCCCGATTCAGCTAGTCCGCTGGGTTTTCGACATGATTTTGGTGGCTGTAGGTTTTTCACCGCTTGTTGTGGGTTACATTTTCGGTTTTGTTTCTTGGGCAATTACGGCTATCATTACGTTTCCTCTTTTCATAACAGTCGTGGGTATGATGCTCGTCTCAGAAGCCATTGCTCTTTCTTTGGTAAATGTCTATCGCATAATCACGCGTTGGACTTCAAGAATCTGGCGCCGGATTTTGGGCGTGCCCCGCGGAAATTTTACAGCAGATCAACTACCTACAATCAACACTCCACTCGCCAATCCTACTCCAAAACAATCTCCAATATCCAGTCTGAATCCGACCACCTTCATCGAAACTAAGAACGACGAAAGAAGGTTCGCACTTCACAGTAATCCTGTGACAACAATGAAATACATTCCTTCTGGCCCAGCCCCGGTATTTCCTTCTCCATGCGCTGAAATCAGAGGCCGCTCTAGAGAGATAGATCCGCACGTTATAGTCTTTTCTCCTCCCCCTCCTCCGTATAGCTAAATCGTTACTCGCGCTCGAATTTTTCGAAGCCTATGATTAGTATATGGATTTCCTGAGCTGGATTCAGGAACAGGATAAATTTGGCTCGCATGACATATTTCGCTGGGCGACCTTGATACACCTATGCTGCGTTGATTTTTGGGATGGAAACGGATGGGAGGGGAAAAAACTTGACAAACAGAGACTTGGAGACTCATAGGCTCCAATGTGTAGGAGCATGATTTTCGATACTAGGAATTTCCACAATAAAGATTCTACATCTCTTCTCACTCAAAGCTCCAAAATCGGTTCAAGTGATGATTGCTTGCTTGACTTTGATGATTCATTCATGAGTAACATTCTCAATGTGATTCATAGTTCATAACTGTAACAACCATCATCGAGTCACTCCACCCAAATGTATTTATTTGCTAGAGACGTTTCATACACAACATCTTTTTGAATTTCCAAAGTTCGCTGAAGATTTTGAGTAATTCGATCAATGTTTTGTGTCTGGAAAACCTTTCCATTCAGAATTCATCTTCTACATCTAAATTTTCTTTACACTCATTATCTAAACTTCAAATCATATTACCGCATGCCAGTAAGCCTGTATCCAAAATATCACAACGCTTACCGGAAAGATTCCTACGATTGTTACGTTCGCAGTCTCACTTCCACTCCCACTCCCACTCTCACCAAACCAAACCACCAGTCTCCCACCTCAAAAATTCCACCCTCTTCCTACCATCAACAAAATCTCCCCCGTCCACCCCACCCTCACTCTCCAACCATGGATCCCGCCATCCCAATCATGGGCTACATTCTCCTCTCCATCTTCCTCATTCTCCTCTTCCTCATCATCAGTTTCTTCCTCGTTTGTAAATATCAAACACACACCGAAACACAAATACACGCACAGTTATCTCCTCAAGCTCAAGGAATCAATGAGTTAGAAGCGAGGACCAGAATTCCTCTCCGGAGAGGCGGGGTTGGAAGGCGGGGGAAGGGATTGAGAGGTGTGTTGCCGCTTAGAAGAGGGGGGGTGGGGTATTGTGAGGTTGGGGGGAGAGGGGATGGGAAAGGGGATGGGGATGGGGATGTTGTTGGGGGAGTAGACGGGGGAGAGAGAATTAATAGTATTGATGAGAGGAATGGATACGATGAGGTAGATGTGGTGGATGGAGAGGTGGAGACACATGGGGCGCCGCCGCCTTATACTGGGCGGGGGGAGGTATGAGGGTTGGATTTTGGGATGGGGACTTGAGATGTGGTTGGCGATGATACGTATTGATGGATGGTGTTGTAGAATTCGAGTGTGTATGTCAAGGAAACGCTGAGAGGAGATTTGTGGGAAAATGATGGAGTCAACGATGATCTAATCCACAAACGGCATTGGTGGAAAGCTATTCAGACAATGAAGATGGCGTTTTATCGGGCACGAGAAAATCTATTGGATATCAATGATTCATATGATTCCTCTCAATTGCTAAACAATATACCTATCCATAAGAAATTGATAAACCCCTTCCTTCAAATTCCACATGTTTTTTTTTCAAACCCAGGTATCAAATCATGAAACTATCTTCCAAATCCCTTTCCTAAAGCCTTGTCCCGCTTATATCCCGACTCCCAAAATTTCCTGTAGAAAGAAAAAGATAATGATATGCAAATACATGAATATATTAAACCCCTCCCATTCTTAATCCATAAGTATTCCGATTTTCTTTTCTCCTTTCTTTCTTTTCCAAATACTAACTTACAAAATGTGTTACATTATCACAGAGTGACATCAACACGGATATCAAACAAGTCTGCGAGCAAAAGATCTCAGAATCTTCCCCAAATAACCCCTTTCTCACTTTCTCTCTTCTGTCCCGGACTCCTCATTGAATCTCTCACAATTTCCACTTTCTTACCCGGGGTCTGAGCTCCTTCTCTCAACGCCGGTATCGCCGCAACAGGCTGCGCCACCGGCGAAGGAGGCTCAATCACCACGCCCAAACCGCTTCCTCTCTGCACCCAAGGCAATCTACTCGAATCCAAGTATTTTTCAAATTCCCAGGTCCCCCCCGTTCCAACCCCATCGGTCGGAGTATCCATTCCCATCGTAGTGTTCGTAAAGTGTGATTCCCTCCCACGACTATTGTTCGTCGTCACAGTATCATTTCCCGTCCCGGGATGACTATGACCGCCGCTTCGTTCCCGATATGCTTCTGCTTCTTTGTCCATTCGATTCATGCGTTCCATGCCACTGTCTCGGTTCATGCCCATATTCATGATACTTCCACTCCCACGGATTTCACGATCGTTATCCATCCATGGTTTTGGTTTTTCGGGATTAGATGTGATGAGAGCGGCATCGCTTGCAAAACTAAGTGCGCTTAAAGCAGGACTACTTGCACGGCTATCCATGTCCATTTCCTCTAGTTCTTCATCCATCTCATCCATTTCGGCCCAGCATAAAGCATCGCTACCACCACTCAATTCATATATCTCTTGAGCCTTTTCTTTTCTCTTCTTCTTACGCTCTTTACGACGTGTAGAAAGACTTGCGAGATGGAATGCGGGTTTTGGTTCAGCGGGGACCAAATTGAGGTTTTTGTTGAGGATAGTATCCGCTGCATTGCTATGGCTGGGATTTCGGGAGATAGAAACACCGGAGTTGTTATATTGAGGGTTGAGTGTGAGATTGGGGCTTCCAATGGCTTTACCAATGTTTAGAGACACCAATGAGCGATTGGATGGTGTTAAAAGAACAGAATTAGTGCCCTTGTCGAAGAAACTTAGCTCCGAAGGCGCATTAGAGACGTGCCTAGATTTTTTGTCCGCTTTGTCTTTGCTAGAGATGAAGGGAAGAGGCAAAGGAGAAGAGGGAGCAGATCGGAACGATTCTTTTTTCGAGAGACTTCGAGAAGTTGATGCGAAGGTGGAAACGGTGTTGGACCGTCCAGGAGTTTGTTTGCGTTGATGTACACGGCGAAGAATGAAAATTGTCAGACAAAGTGTTAAAGCTATTGAAGCAAGAATTGCGAGTACAATGGCTGCTATGGCAGGAGCCGAAATCTTTGACTTTGAAGAGGAAGGTAATGGTGCGGGGTTGTTAAGGGGAAATATTGGCGTTGGATTTGAGGTGGGATAGAATGTGGTCCAATTGCGTTGATGAATGGAAAATTGGGAACGTTCGTAGTCAGCAATCAGGTATGCCTCTTGGAGAAATGCTCGTCCAAGTGTGATTTGTGAATTATCGGCTGCTCGTTTGAGTGGGAAATAACGAGTACTGTTTTGTACAAGAGGATATTCGGCCCACCAATCGAAAGCAGCATATGGGAGTGTGATATTTACCATGGCTTTGGACGTCGAATTTGTGAGAGTAAATACAACAGAGGCGTTTCGGTTGACAAGTGCAGTGTGTTGAGCATCAGTCAGTAAATACAGTTCTGATTCTGAATCATAGGTAATACCAATAGCTTCTTCAAACTTTTGGCATATACTTGTCGGTAGATATAGGTATGGGACCGATGAGTCAATGAAAGCTGGAAAAGAGGATGATGGCGATGATACGACTTGCGACGTCCCGCTCGGTGATTTAATCGTGATTGCATTGACATCAATCGTTAAGTCATCGCCAGAAGTGGCAAAATCGACAGTAAGATTGTTTGGTACAAAGAGAGATTCTTCATAACCACCTAAAGTAAGATTGCCTAAGACTCCTCCACCATTGGCTCCCCCACCATTACGATAATAAGCACCTGCAGTGTAACCATATGATAATGATGGGATATGGCCTTGAGACTTGAGATTGGACATATAACTTGGGACAGCTTCAGTTTTGCTCGAGAAATTTGTAGGTGCCGGATTAAGACCAAAAAGACCCAGCCAAAAGTCGTGAGTGGCGATCGTTGCGAGCACTTGTGAGCTTAAGGAGGGAGATCCACTGCCCGGGGATCCCAACACGATGGTATCGTTGCCATAGTCTCCATTGCCAGTAAGGCCTAGACTAGACTCAACTTCCAAAGCAAATTCACCTCCGGGATTAATGGTGTTTGGTACCCTAAACTCTTGTTAATGCCATGATTATACAAAGTATTTTATGCAATCCACGTACCATGTGGTAGACGAGTTTGAATTAAAATTCAAACCTCTCGAGCTATAACATGTTCCTGGGTCTGATGAAGTACAGCCATCTGGTGATACGACCCAAGGCTGGTTACTTGCTGTTGATATGAAGACCAAGATAGGTTGAGGAGGTGTTCCCACTGTAAGCCAGAAGCTTGACCAATTCCCGTCAATACCATTCCTAATGACATCGTTAATAAGTGATGTACTTTGATAGACGCTTGAGGATCGACAAAAACTTACCAATTACCACTTGGAAGAACAGTGAGAGGAGGAACAGGGGTTGACGAAGTTGATGAAGTTGCTGAAGCCAAAGTCTGCTCAGGAAGGCCGAGGATAGGCAATAGGGCGAAGACCAGATACCTCCAAGAAGACATCGGCATTGGAAAATATCATTAAGGAGAGTTTCATAAGATTAATAATTGTTGAAAAGACAGAACATGCTGGCTATGATACAATAGCTGGTAAGGAGAGACAAGAAAGAGAAAAGAGAACAGACGAAAACAGGTTCAAACGGCACGAACGAGGTGTAACTTGAACACAAATTTCGACAAGATCTGCATCAAGACGGGAAAGTCTAAAAGAAATGTAGTGTACGTAGGAAAGGTCGAGAACTTGGAGGATTCAAAAAACGTGCTGTGCGTACCGGGCACCTATATGATACTACCATACTATCATTTCGTGTGTCAGATAATTGCAACTGCCAGGATCTGCGGATGGATAGGAGGAGGAAAAAACAGCTTCTATCAAATTTGCCTAGAGCTTAGAATGGTGCTACACACAGAGAGGGGCGAGATTGGACAGTTAGCATAATTAATGAGAAGGATTCATCTTCGGCTTTGTCATGAACTATATGTGGTATATGACTGACCAATCTTCAATCACCATTTTGTAGAAGCGGGAGATTCATAAGACAATAGGTCCACCAGTCTGTATAACCTTGGGGCCGAAATCTATCCTCGCTTGGTAGATAGATGACGAAAACAAAAGGTACCGTACTGGTAAGATCTCTATGAAGCTTTTGTGTAGCTCTGTGTAGCTATGACAAGGGAGCTTGAAGGTAATTCCGAGGTCCCCATACTGTACTCTATTATAAGTCTATCAGGAATCCCGAGAATTGTAGGAAAATGATTTCAGTTGCGTATTTGAAACATAAACCTGGGGTAAAACGAGGCTCTCTTTCATAACACGGCCACCGAGGTAATTGATTTTTGATCCATTAAATCTGGATTCCAAATCCACAGTGAAGCTCTCAAGTTATCAATTGCAAAATAATGCGATACTGTATTGCAATTCAAAGCTAGGTAGTATTTCCCACCCTGGCCTTTCCGCTTCTTTTTTGTCAAAAGAAACCAAGGGGTTGATTCTTCAAATCCGCGACGATGTAACGATATCTTCGTGTCATTTGATTTCCACATAAAACCAAGGACCCCTGTTTCCAAAGGATTGGATTAATCGAGGTTGAATCCTTACGAAAACGTGGAATAGGGATGATGATGAGTGAGAATGTCAGACGGTTAGTTTTTTTTTTGGTGGTAATTGAGATTTGAAAAAGATGGAATGGTTTGTTGACATGTGGATTGTTACTTTGAAATGGAAAGGAGTTGTCGGATTCGGAGGCGCGGTAGAAGCTGGTCTACTTGTCTTTTATATACCCAATTTCATAACTAGCTTCCAAAACATGACTTTTTTTGATCTAATCAACTTTTTGCTAAATCCTATATAAAAATAATTCAATTGCTTTCAATTCGATCAATACAATTCCAAATTGAAAAAACTCTATATAGAAATATAGATCTCAATTAACAGAATCGATAAATAAAATATAAATAATTTCAATCGAAATTTCATTGAATTGGAAATAATTGAATAAAAATTCTATTTTCGAAAGTTTAAAAGCCTAAAAACTATATAAAAACTTATTATTTTATTCAACTATCTTTAATTCAATGAAATTCCAATCGAAACTATTTATATTTTATTTAACGATTTTATCAATTGATATTTATATTATGATATAAAGTTTTTTCAATTTGGAGTTGTATTAATCGAATTAAATTTTCAATTTCAAAAGTTCGATTAAATGATATTGAAAAAAGTACTTTTTTTCTTTGGAAGCTAGTTATGAAATTGAGTATAATATTTGATTGTGCTTTTGGGTGACTATGATTGTAATATTTGTTAGGGTTGATTCACTTTACTACTAACCCACAAAAGCGTGGAGTGTTCCGAATGCTTTCGGAACAGTGGATCTACTATATAAACCCTGTCAGGTGGTCGCTCCCTGACAATATTTACGATATTATAATAGATATTAATAAGAGCTCTAGTATGATATATATTATTATGATATTGATATCGTATCGTGAGGTCTCAAGAAATCCTAAACTTAAGTAATTATACGCTAGAGACTTAGTAGCTAAAGATTTCTTATATACTCGATTTCATAATATATATTCAAAATATAACTTTTTTTGATCTAATCAACTTTTTACTAAACCTTATATAAAAAACAATATGATTGCTTCCAATTCGATCAATATAATTCCAAATTAAAAAAACTCTATATTATAATATAAATCTTAATTGATAAAATCAATAAATAAAATGTAAATAATATTAATTAAAAATTCATTGAATTGAAAATGATTAAATAAAAATCTAATTTTCGAAAATTCAAAAATCTAAAAACTATACAAAAAATCATAATTTCATTCAATCACCTCTAATTTAATAAATTTTCAATCAATATTATTCATATTTTATTTATTGATTCTATCAATTAAGATTTATATTATAATACAAAGTTTTTTCAATTTGGAATTATATTAATAGAATTGAAGTTTTTGATTTTCGGAATTTTGATTAGATGATATTGAAAAAGTGCTTTTTCTTTTGAATACACATTATGAAATCGGGTATAAGCGGCAGCACACTCGAGACACTCCATTACGAGACTGCCTCGAGACTACCCACCACCACCACCACCACCACACCACCACCATCATCATCATCATCACCATCGTAAAGAGCCCCCAAAGAGGCCATTCTCCAATTTATTCGAGTCTCCTGTGCGACTACTCGTTCATACACGCACGTTGCAGGCAGCCGTATTTGATTTTTGGTTCTATAAGCCATCTTCTATTGTAACCTCCGGTGATTCCCAGTTTTCACACGCATGTTTGGGCAATGTGATACGAGGAGGTGCACCCGTACAGCAGATATCGTGCTGGAAAAAAACCCTTCCTCACGTCACTTCCAGCAGTGTTTGGACTTCTGGAAATGATGAGTTTGTTATACATTTCCAGATTTGCCACCTGAGTCTTACATTACTGATCCTCTCACTGTGCTGCTAATCTAACAAATCACATTATCGCACGAAGGTACCTGTTTAAGTGTGTCTACCAGATCTCTAGAAATTCCGTCTTACTTCAAGGTTTCTGGTCATATGGAGCGATGTCACCTCAGAATATCTCCGCCTCCAAAAATATCCTGAGAAAGAGAGCTAGAGAGGAAGAGAGAAGAATGCGCAGCCAGCATACTGCATCGCACCCATACTATACTCACACCCACACTCACACTCACACTCACAGTGCACCCACACCTCACTATTACTCCAGGTTGGTCGAAAACGGTTTCTATCGTTATCTGTGGGTGCCTCGGGTGCTTCGTTGTTTCCCCTTACGCAGTGTACCTTTTTCTGCAGGGGGCCACATCTATTATATTGAACCTCTGAAGTGTCCACTAAGATTACGGTATTTTATTTCAACCGAGTCTTAATCATCCCATCACAAACTGGAGACTGGCACAGCCGCTTTCGTGACCTTCCTTGATCTTATTTGATCCTTCAACCTACCGCTCCTTCCACTCATTTGTTTACGAATAATGGAGGCTCTATATTTGGCCCTCGCATGTTGCTTACGATGGATTTAAGTTGCCGAATGGAGCAAGTCACTCTATTTACGATGCAGGCCCATTAGTATCAGGCACAGCATCGACTCTTGCATCAGCAAATAATTTAATGAAGATCTCGCTGATCAGCCTCCCATTCCATCGCGAAGGGGAAAACCACCCTTGTAATTTTTGGGATGGGGATCTAACTTGTTACTTTCTCAACTACCAAGTGACTTCACCTACAAACCCAACTGTTTAATATATTTCCAAATTTCATCATGAGATTGTTCCGTGATGCAGGCTTGTGGGTGAGCAATATCCTACCTAGGTACTCAGCCCCAGGGTTTCATTTCTTTCAAGAAGAATATAGGAACCTCCTCCTCTTACAATTCTGTTCTTTTCCTCCTTCTCTCGTCGTTTTGTCTCTTTTAATTCTATGTTCTCATAAGACTTTATCAATGGGTTGATGCCCGGCGTATTGTCCCGTTTTCACCATGAAAGTTTTGCCAGTTCTTCTTCTAGGCACCCTGTCTCTTCTAGATCAAGTAACCGCTTCTTCTAAACTAGACCAAGGTAAGACTAGTCAATATTGATTTGTGGGATTGGTTCATCTTGTGGCGTTAAGTGTTACATCTGCTGATATGTTCTTTCCTCCTAGATGATGTAGTTCGAAGGTATACTAATGGAACCTCATCGTCGCATACAACTTCTTCTACCATATTATCAAAAGGGTCTCCGACCACCACACTCATTTCATCTAGCACATTGTCTATCTCTTGTACGGCAACAGTCACTTCAACAAGCGGCCAGCCCTTAATAGCTGCAAGAGAAGCTTGTCCTACCACTGTCACTATCGTCCATACACCCACATCACTTCCACATACTAATATAGCTGTCGTTGAGGCATCTACTTCTGAAAAGGCTACCGTTGCAACCTCAGCCAAGTCATCCATATTGAAAGAATCGGTACACACTACCATCTCCAACACATATCTCAAATCGAGTCCTACTAGTTCTCACTCAGCCTCTTTATCACTCCAGTCTTCGAAAGCTTCTGTTGAAGCGTCCGATAAATTCTCAAATACTGCTATTGCTTCTAGTACTACCACTTCAAAGTCAACTGAGCCAATAAGTTTAGTGACATCAAAAACTCTCAGTAATCCAACCCAGCCTTCAACTGTCTCAACCGCATCCACTGCTTCGCATTCAATTATAGTTGGTGAACCTTCATTATCAAAGACATCTGGGTTGTCTTCGAAAACACTTTCTTCGACGACTTTATCTGGTGGCACGACAACAACGCAAGCTTTCACACTGACAGTACCGTCAGCTGAATCGACCAAACTCCTTGCATCTTCAAAAACCATCAGCTCATCTGCCTCGTCAGCGCATACTGATATATCAAAGTCTGATCCTTCATTTATCTCTAGTACATCAAAGTCTATTGATTCTTTATCCTCAAATCTTATTTCTACCACCAAGAGCGAGTCTATCGCATCCAGGACTTCCAATTCTGCTCCATCTACGACTGTGTTCTCTACATCTTCTGGAACAATAGTCTCCCAGCCAACTGTTCCAGCTTCTACTGCTCTAAATTCAAAACCTAGCTCTGATGCTAATTTGGTATCTTCAAGTGGATTATCAGGGACATTGACGTCAAAAACATCCGAATCTTCTCTTCAGTCAACACATGAGTCCAAATCAGAAGATAGCTTGACCCGATCTTCAATAAATTCTACATCTAGCTCTCTTTCAAGAGCTTCTGAGACTTCTATTCAATCGACACGTGATTCGAAATCGGAGATTGGCTCGGAGCCTTCAAAGGAATCGTCAAATATCTTGACGTCCAAGACACCTGGGCCTTCCTCTGGTCAAACAACAACCGAAGCCAAATCGGAATTCAGTTTAACACCTTCTGCACAAGTACCTACTACGACTGCAGTCTTACCCTCCGAAACGTCAAGATCGTCTATTCAGACAATACGTGAGAGCAAATCAGAGTCAAGCCTATCCCTCTCGGTAAATTCATCGGTTCTCTCAACTTCTGCAAGTTCAAAGACGTCTTCTGCTCAAACAACGCAAGAAAGCAAATCAGAAATAAGCAAATCCGCTTCATCGGCTTCATCAGTTCTAGGCCTCTCAACCTCAAAAGCGTCTGGGGCACCGACTCAAACTCAAAATCAATCGACCAAAGAATTACAATCCAGTTCTTCTACTACTGTAACTCAACCAACTGTAGTATCGTCAAAGACTAAAACTCAGATTACTCCAACCACTCAAGAGTCATCTTCGGGGAAGCAGTCGAGTACTCACAGCCCAATTTCTGACGCTACCATATCTCACAGCTCGAGTGTACAGTCACTCTCTTCGTCTGGAATTAAGCAGTCACAGACTACATCTCATAGCTCGAGTGTGCAAGGACAATCTTCTTCTGTAATCAAGCAATCAGATACTACATCTCATAGCTCGGGTGTACAAGGACAAAGTAGTACGTCGGAAACAAAGATCACGAGCAAAACTGCCGAGACTTCTGCTACAGGAAAACCGGAAACTACTTCTCAAAGTACAAAGCTTGCAAGTACCACTGAGAAGTTAAGCACCTCTACACGAGTACTTGAAACTGCTACAACAAGTGTCAAATCATCAGTCAGTGAAACTCCAAAGCATAGCAGTTCAGTAGAGGGAGTATCTACATCGATTAAGGCCTCAGAAGTCCATTCAAGTAGCACTGCCTCCTCCAATCGATCAGAAAAGACTGAGACTACAAAAACAACTGAAAGGGCTTCTCATATATCCTCTTCATTACCCAGTAAGACTACAGGTGATACTTCTTCTACTACCAGTGAAACCCCCAAGACCTCGAAGTCGTCTCTCTCGTCTATCAAATCATTATCTGATAAGCAATTAACGACTTCTCATACAACAAAGTTTTCAACTTCAGAGATTATTTCTAAGACAGGGACGGCAAAAGAAGTAACAGAACCTACTACATTACCTACAAGTAAGGTTCAGATTTCGAGCCAAAGTACTAAATCAGAATCATTAAAGTCACATTCCTCAAAGACATCTGCGTCGTCACAAGGGGAATCAAGCACGAAAACCACTTCCACTCAAACTTCTTTCTCTAAACCATCATCAACAGAAATGAATACGAGTGTTATTTCAGGTTGTACGGCAACCCTCTCGGTTTTAGGTCAAGTCTTACCAGTATGCCCACATACTATCACCCTTGATTCATTCTTTTCCACTTCGAAGACACCGGGTTCTGTCTCGCCTACTAGTATTGTAGTCTCGACGAGTGTTTCTGCCACTTCAAAATCGGCTGAAACTACTAGTAAGACATCTGATAGTAATTCTGCCACTTTTAATCCAGCTACTTCCAATCCAGCTACTTCCAATCCAGCTACTTCCAATCCAGCTACTTCCAATCCAGCTACTTCCAATCCAGTCAGCAAATCGCCAGATGCCCCTACTTCAGTTTCTCAAACCAGTATACAAACAACCAACCCGGTTAGCATGTCTCAGGATACATCTCCATCGATTCCTGCCACCAGTAATCCAATAAAACCTGTATCTGTGCCAGGGAACAAGCCGGCTGATACTACAACCAATATACCACCATCAGGATCTACGGTTCCTGGATCCATTGCAGTTCCTACTACTTCTAATCCAGCTACGAGCAAATCACCTGATGCTCCTACTTCAAATCCGGCAACCACTAAATTGCCCGATGCTCCTACCTTGGCCTTAGCAAGTAGCACACCGATCGTACCGGCTACGACGAAGCCATCTGACTCTCCTGCTACTAATGCAGGAACTATGAAGTCACCTGATGCAGCCACTTCAAATCCAACAACTACAAAGTTACCCGACTCACCTGTTTCGCCTACGACTAGTCCTGTGACTTCAAACACTAGTAATGGCGGAGGAGATATTTCAAATATTGCCCCAACAACATCGCCAACTACTAAAGCTCAGGCTGAAACTGCCAAGGCGATCTCAACTCCACAAGTAACTTCAAATCCCGTATCTGTACCCGGAACAAAACCAACTGATATTGCGACCAATGTGGCACCAACAGGATCAACAGTCTCTCCATCAATTGCATCACCGCCTCTATCTAATCCAGTTGGAACAATGAGCAATGTACCGCTACCAGTGATAACAAGTAATGTATCACCGCCTGTTACAACAAATCCAGTATCTATTCCTGTAACTAAGCCAGCTGATAATACTACAAACACATCACCACTAGTATCTACAGTTCCTGGATCGACGGCAGTTCCACCTGTGTCTACAAACCCTGTATCTGTTCCTGGAACAAAGCCAGTAGATACAGCTCCAATAAGCAATCCAACTAACACTGCAACTGGAAGTCTTGCATCTCCATCTTCATCTACTGGATCTACTACTCCTGCTATTGGAATTCCAGTTGGACTACCTAGTGACAAAAGTACAGCTCTTCCAACCACTGGAACGAATGATATAATCGGTACCCAACCCGTAGCTAGTAATCCTGGAATCCAAACCGGCGGCACAGGAAAATCACCCTTAGCATCTGACACCGCTTCCATTATTTCCAGCATCCAAGTATCACCCACCGGCGTAAAGACCAATCCCGATGTGACCACTGCAATTTCCAGCCCGACTATGACTCCCACAACTATCAAGCCTTCACCTGGCCAAACCACTGTCGCTCCCGTTGTATTCAATTCCCTGACTCTCAGTCAAGGAAGTTCCAACTTCGTAGTCGGTTCACAAACGATAAAACCCGGTTCCGAAGCCACGGTAAGTGGTGAACGTATCTCCATTGCTCCATCCGGCTCTGCAGTCATCATCAATGGCGTAACCACAAGCACTACGTCCACGTCCACTCCGTCCAATGCTGCCAAGGTCGTTCTGTCAACCACCACTGAACCCATCCCTGGTGTCGTTGTCGTCGGAACATCTAGTGTAACAGCCGATTTCACTAAATCCGGCTTCGTCATCGGAAGCGCCACTTTGACTCCTGGAGGTGCGATTACGCAGGGAAGTACTATTATTACTCTTCCTCCTAGTAGTACTACCTCTCTTCCTTCAAACGTCGTGGTAATTGGATCTTCGACCTTTACTAAAAATTCCGCCTCTGGAGTTGTAATCGGTAGTCAAACCCTGAAACCTGGCTCCGTTATTACAGTCGATGGATCTACAGTTTCATTATCACCTACTGGAAATGCGGTGGTAGTCAATGCAAATAGTGGGTTTGTAACAAGTACTGCTTCTTTGCAAAGTGTAGTTCCGTTGAGCAGCTTTGTCATTGGGGGAAAAACGCTTACGGCTGGAGGAACAGTGACGGAGGGTGGAGACATATTGAGTTTGGCTGCGGGAGGAACAGGGATTGTGGTCGTAGGTACTATGACTGTGGGTGCTGGAGGTGCAACAGAGACGGCGAAAAAGAAGAGTGCGGGTGTGAGAATGAGTCTTGGTGGGTGGGGATTACTGTATTTACAGGTTTCTTTTGTACTTTTTGGGTTGTTGATGTGAACGGGCTTGTAAAGTGGTGGTTGTCTAAAATATTTCATCTTACGACAGTTGGAGGTTTGGGGAAAGGAGAAGAGGTGTTCATTTTTATATTTCTGTATTGGAGAGGAGGGTTTGTAGCTACAAAACAGGATAATGAGATCATACTATAGCGTTCAGCAAACGAGCGAAAAGTTTTGGGTTGTCTGGAGTGGAGGGTGTGTGTGGATTTTTTTCTTTCTTTTCTTTCTTTTGTTTTTTTGTATTATTACTATCATATACCTAGGTATCCAAAGTCTTTGTATCTACGATCGATATCTGTTTAAGGAAATGAGGAATTGGGAGGTGATGAATGGGATGCTATGGATTGGGTTGTAGGGGGGGACGCTGTGGATTAGATGGTAGGATAGTCATGTAGTGGTAAATATATTGAGTAATGATATAATGACACCACTATCATTATATAGGTATATACTCAAAGGTATAAACTGTACCGATTCCACACTTTCTAATCCTCGTACTCATAACGATCATCATATACGTAAAATTACACATCTAACTCTATCCGTATCAGTAAAGAGTAAAGAGCGATGAAATCGCCCTTACATACCTACTTAGTTACATAGTAAAAAAATCAGACAGCATGAAAAACAAGCACATAATTCTACGTAAGATTACTAATATAACATAGCATACCAACGCTCAACTCGATATTCCACACCCCTGAGACGAGGACTTCGCCGGCCAGGGAGGATATTAATAAAGAAATGCGTATATTATTGACTCTTAGGGAATTAACGAAAGCGATAGCGAATTATTATTCATACTTGAAACTTTTACATACATCATCTGTGTATATTTTCTTTTACAGTCATTTTGCTCCTGTGACTAACTATTGTATCATTTCGGGTTAATATGAGTAGAAGATTCATAAGTAATGTAATTACATTTGTCTCTGATCAGCTATGTATAGGCACTGTACTTCTTATCTAACGTTGTATCGATGGATTTTCACAAAGGATTGTAATCCCTTCTAACACTACATGTCGTTTATTCCTTCACACTCTAAATCTTACTCTGCAAATAGAATCCACGGGATGAGACGAGATGAAACCAACCCCAAGTCGAAAGAAAGTAAAGCTCGCAATGAGAGTAAATGAATTTATTCCTTCTTTAATCTCTTTCTTGCAAGCCCCTCGGTCATACATTGAGCCACATCTTCTAACGTCTTTCCTCTTTTTCTCTTTTCTGTTTTTTCCTCTCCGAGAACTGTTTCATCCGCGACAGTTCGGTAAACGTCGGCTATCTCTCCGAAGATACCCTTTCCGTCCTCTCCTTTTCCGTCGGTGGATTCTCCGCCTAAAAATCCTGTTTCCCCATGACATATTCCGATTTCCTCCATTTCTCTTGCCCATCTATAGGCTTTTGGGGGCATCCCTGTGATTCCTCCATTTACTGACTTCCATAACCCAGGTATTCTTTCGCTCATCTCTTTCTCCAATTCTCCCAGGACGCCCAATCTTTGAGCCGATGTGAATGCTTGAATACATAGGGCTGTAAAACCTTTCGTCGTACTAGCGAAACAACATTTAAGACCTGATGCCTTGCCAATTTCTTCGCCGAGATAATTGGTATTCAAAAGATCTGCTAAATGTGCACCAGATACAGGAGCTTTAGAAAGTTCATGAGGTCCGGAGATGGGAATCGAAGGACGGCTCCAAGCATGTTCTAAGTCTGGATCTATAGATGCCGTGGTATTAGGAGTAGTGGTATCGTTTTTAAGTTTAGGTGCACCGCCAATGATTCCGCCGTCGATGAATCTGATGGATGGTGATGTGTCACTAATATGAGAAGCGACTGAGCGAGCAGTAGCAGGAGCTATGGCGTTTAGGTCGAGATAATAGAGGGGAGAGGATTTTGGTGAAGACAGTGAGTTAAAGGCGGTAGTAATCCGAGTTGCCAGTGACAGTGCATCTCGGGGTGGAACAATCGAGAGAATGTAGTCCGATTGTGAAATCAGGGATGCATCTGTAGGTAGAAGTTCGATTTTGGATTTTTGAGCGCGATCATGGGTATCTTGGCTGGGTGGAAAGAAGGTGAGTTCAATGTAGAATAACGATACAGTAATGAAGATTTTCATGAGTATATATTTGCAATCATCAACTTTGATGTTTGAAGAGGTACATTAGCTTCTCATCTTACTACTTTGAAACGGATGATACAATGGCTCATCCATCACGAATTTCCTCCCAATTTCATTCCATACATGATAGTTCACAGTACTTGGGATGTTCATGTCTCAAGCTGAATTGTCTATTCTCTCGAAAGCAGAGCCAGTTCGACGATGAGTTCCCCATGGGCACTATAACCCCTTTAAATAGTTACTGGATAACATAAGTCATAGAAAATAACGCAACCAACCTTCGACCCTCAATATTCGTCACAACTCGATAATTATGGGCAATGAGCAACTTTGCAACACCCATACCCATTTCTCCGATGGAGATGATACCGACAGTAGCAAGCGGTGACATCTTGGAAAGCTTGATTTAAGAAGAAGAGGGACTGAATCTGCGAAGTTTGTTATCTAAATTGTATGAATTGCAAGTTTGCGATTTCGGAGAAGGAGAGAACGGCGGTTAGTTGCAGTGCTGCAATGCAATGCATGTGAATTATCACATGATCCAAGTGCACAGACCATTTGTCGAGTCCTCATCGCGACTCACAAAAGTTGACGTATTGGAGAATGCTTGATGTATTGTGCATTGTATGTGAGAGTTATTCACCTCAAACAAGCCAATATATCAAACAACCCGCCCCTTTTCAGTTTAAATTCGTTCCGACAATTTGACAATGGATCAAAGTCTTGATGAGATTAGTGGTGATCGCCAGGTAAGCCCTGTCAAAACCCGACGCCTCGAACATGTTGTCTCAGCCTTGCAACACGACATAGTACTGATATCTTCAAGCAGCAGAGAAATGGTGGAAATCGAGGTCGACAAGGCCGCAGAAACAATCGCAATGAATACCCTCGTGACGGTGTAAGAAAGGTAAGAATCTCTTCTTGAACTCGCCCACAATTCTCGAGTCTCGAGTCTCGAGTCCATTCGCTAACATTTCACCGCTCTAGGTGCATACACCTCCTCATTCATCAGATACTTTATTCCTCCCTGAATGTTCTCAGATCGCATCGCTGCTTCAATCAGTGCATGACGCCTCGACGGTTCATGATAGTACGTAAATAGAATATATAGCTAACCCACGCCTCCTCTCCTTTGGCAGCCATATCAAGGAGATGATTCTAGAAACATAGACTCGTAAGTCTCAAACTTTCAAATCAGATCAGGGATCAACTGACAGTATTAGCGAATGGGTTCATGACAAATACGATGATCGAAGTACGCATCAGTTCCATACTTTCCGTTCTTTCTCGACCATCTAGCTCACAAATATCTCAGACGCCCGTTCTTCGAATCGTCCGGAAAGACGCAACTACGAAGAAGACAGACCAGTGTATGCAATATACTCTTTTTCGATCAGCGTTGTATGCTAACACAGAATAGAAACAGCGGAAAGGTTAGGGTCGAGAATGTACACTACGATTTGACGGAAGAAGAGTTGGAGGTATGAGATATGATAAGGAACAGAAAGATTTTTGTTATTAAGCATGGTTTTAGGGTCTTTTTGAACGCATTGGTCGTGTTTCATTCTTGAAGCTCGATTACGACCGAGCTGGACGTTCGAATGGAGTCGCTCATGTAACTTATGAGGACCCAAGAGATGCGCAGAGAGCCATTGAGGAGTTTGATGGGGCAAATGCCAATGGTAAAAGCTATATTCATGTTTGATATAACCATTTTAACACTTTCTAGGTCAACCAATTCGTTTGAGGTCCGTTCCGGACGGTCCATCCAGAGGCCGTGGAGGTAGAAATCAATACGAACCATCGAGATCAGGTCGTTCCCTGGCCGACCGCATGACTCTTCCTCGTTCTCGTTCTTTATCTCCTCCAGTCAGGCATTCTGATGTCAGCAAGCCACCACCTGAGAATGTTGATCGATATGTTCCGGGCGACCGAGGAGGCCGACCAGACAGGAGGAGACGTTCGCGCAGTCCTTTGCCACGCCGAGGAAGAGATGGTCGCAGACCTGGTGCAAGGAGAGAAAGAGGAGATCGTAATGCCGGTCGTGGAGGAGAAAGGCCTGCAAGAGAGAGCAGACCAAAGAAAACACAAGAAGAACTCGATGCCGAAATGGATGATTACTTTGGAAATGGATCCAAACAGGAAGAGAATGTCAATGACACTTCGAATGAAGCTCCAGTTGCAGCTCCAGAGCATAATCAAACTGGGGATGATATTGAAATGGTTGAGTAGATTCTTGTTGTGTAACATAAGAGTAGGAGGGAATTCAATTCTAGCTATGAATCGCTCGTGGGATAGATTGGCCAGCAAGTATAATGGACTTTCTTTATAGAATGAAAGCAACAAATACATACATGTTTAGTACTACACATGATCGGATGTATCTCATTTTCTTCGCACATTTGAATCAGGTGAAAATGGTTTCTTGGTTGCTCATTTCTTTTTCCAACTATTCTCAGCAATCTAAGGAATTCCGCCTTCGTTTAGAATACTCGCCTCCCTATTGAGGCGAGTACTTTTATAATCATTCCTACAATAGCTAGGTAGGTAGGTACTCGAATCACATGTGCCTATGCTTCTCATTTATAATATGTTCATTGGGCATTTCTCCAATTCACCTATCGGGTATATCTCCATCCCACATGGTAGTTATAAAATTCACTACATGCTCACTCTATGTATCGGTCGGTAACTACCTACGAGGTCTACCTACCTACCTAGGTAGGTATATACTCGTATACCCTCTTCATTCACTTCCCTCGTATAAGTCCATGGATTCCCCAGATAGATACAATTTGTAGGCTTATATTTTCTTTGTTGTTAATAATCATCATCATTATCATTCCTGATGGGATGAATGATACCTAGATACCTAGGTACCTAGGTAGGAAGGATATGTATTGATTGTGTGAAATTCTGGAGATACTTGTACTTGTAGTGGATTGGATGGGAATACTTGGTGGTAGGTGGATGGTATGGTATGGTATGGTATGGGGGTTTTGGGGGGTGATATAAGTATGGGAAATAGGAAGGAGTGAGATGAGGAGGAAATGGGGAATGGAAATGGAAATGGAGAGGGAGAGTGAGTGAGTGTAAGAGTGAGAATAGAGGAATATTTAAATTCTAAAGCTTTCACCACATTTCGACGTAGGTTTTACTTTTTGGCTGTCTAGTATTTCTTGGTGCTCTGCAGAGATATTGTGTATGCGTGTTGCACTTTTGAGTGTATTGTAATGTACAGGATTCGAGTTTTGATTTTTATGCGCCTGACTAGGTATACATTTGTTGTGTATGATATACGGTACGTGGCGTCAAATACCGAGTATGCCCTCATATGATCTTTGTGGCTTCCTCAACTTCAACTTATCAACCCCCCCCCCCCCCCCCCCCCCCTCCCCCCCCTTGCTCACATTCTCGAGGGTCTTGGACTTGCAGGTAATGATTCTACCACATACGAACACCAATCCTCTCACCGCCCCTTAAACCTTCGGCCCCTCACTCCCCTGCCCATTCGGAAGTCTAAGTTTCTTCTCCGCAGGAGAATATTTAATCTTCCTCACCTCGACATCTTTTCTCTCCTTCTCCCCCACAAATTTCGGCCACCTAGTATGCCCGACTCTCGTTTTCCTCATCACATTGCGTTCCTCTACTTCAGGAAAGATCTTCTCGAAAGCTTCATCCATACCGTTTTCCCTCGAGAGGAGTCTAGCTTGCAGAATCATATTTTTCATTTCCTTTTCCGCCTCCTCAAAAAGAAAGCGCGCATAACTAAACCCTCCTCTCTGCTTCGCCGCTTCCATTCTCGGATTAATATTACATTTTTCCAGTAGTTCTTTTTGTTCTACTTTTGTTGGAACGCGGCCCGTCGTAACAATGAATCTTGATGTCATTTCGAATAGCGATTCGCTGTTTTCGGAATCGGAGCTGAATCTTCCAAAGAGAGAATTCATTCTCTTTTTGTACTCTTCGGTCTTCCTGGGTGACGTGCCTGGTTGATCACGGTAGATATATGAATACGGCATATCGATTTTCGTATTGATGATTTCGTATGATTTTGCATTTACGTGTTTTTGCTGAGAAGAGTGGAGGTAGATTCCCGACTCGGATACTGCGCCAAATTCGCCTTTGCGGAAGGTCAGGAAAGGTAAAGTCTCGTTGGAGGAAGTTGAGGAGTCGTGGATTTCATAGCTGGGTATTTTGTCGATTGTACTAGGAACCGCTCCAAATGTAGTTCTACTAGACCAACTCAGGTCAGTAGCGTCGCGGAGATTTAAATTGGTCTTTTCTGGTTCTTGTGTAAGAAGTCTTTTTCTTGCTACCTTGTCATCGACGAGGGAATCCGCGTCAGTGGTTTCAGTCGATCCTGGAATATCCATTGGAGATTCGGGTTCCTTCAGCTTGGAGGGATTGACGGTAAAGAACTGTATGTGATCACCCCGTCGAGCGAGATTGCCTAGCGTCGAATCTTGTGCTTTCTCCATTGATTGATTAGTATATTCAAAGGATGCCGAAACAATGTCTTCGTATGTCATTTGGGGATCCAAGGATAAGAGGCCTTGCTTAGCGCCCCAACCGCCACCGCCGCTCACTGAATAGATTTAGTCAGCTGTATGCTAGATGAAAAATATGACGGATGAATTAATGCAAGTTACTCACCAACTCGACAAAGAATGGCCCCAAGAGCTATTTGGGTACCAACAAATCTTAGATTCTTATCATCATTGCTCCAAGTCGACTCGAGATCTTCTGCGGATTCAAGTGTTGAAGCCTTGAGATTGGGGTTCAGAAGCTCCTTTCGGTATATCAACGCCCACACTCCAATGTTGGTACGCAAATTACTATATTCCATAAATCTTGTGACCTGGGTTTCCAATTCAGACGACGCCGGTCTGTTATCTGTATCCCCTGATCCGAAAGATAGTTGTCGAACAATATTCCCCAGCCCATTGGCAATGGGTCGGGGCAGAGTAAGAGGAACTGCCGGTACAAATATTGGTGGAGTCATGGTATTTTCATAATGAAAAGCTTTGATATGCTGATATTGTTTTTGTTCTCTTTGTATGCATTTGTACTCCCCCTCATCTCTTCGAGTCCATTTAGCTATTTCGAGAGTTGAATGCTTGCCGTTCACAAATAAAGTGTTTGCCAAAGGTAGACTTATCGTTGTAGTCAATGCCAATTCCCACGGCTTTTGCGATTTGTTCCCCGAAATTATGAGATGTGACAATTTGTCAGGATTCGTTGCATTATCTTTGAATGATTCGGGTTTCCACACATTATCAGGCCTCAACACTCGACTCCGTAGACCATGCAAGAACGAAAATCCCTCAAGTGGGCCAGCACGCTCCGCTATGGGAATGTCATCGAGTGGAGGAGCAAGGCCATCAACTACAGCGCCAACGACAACAACGTAGTTTGGCTTGCCATCCACGTGATGATACGTAAAACATTCCAAGACACGCTTGATAAAATCCTCATCTTCAAGCCAATTCGCAAACGCTGGGGTGACTAAGATAACGACTGCTTCCTCGAGTGGATTAGGAGAGGGGTCTGCAAGATATCGAGCTTTTGTCATGCGGGCACGTTTGTAGATGAGTTGAAGAACTTGTTCTTTAGTCTATATGATATGAGTGATGGTGGCATTACAAGAGTACCAATGTAGCTTACAGTGCGCTTGGGATCCGGAGAGATGATGCTAAATTGGCGAGGACTCAGCGAAGAAGGTTTTCGATCGAGAACCATATTAGGAGTGATTGAACTAGAGCTATCATCTTTGGCTCTCTTATTACGGATTTGTCTCATACGAGTTCGCCCCCCACCTGTGAGGGACGCCTTTTCTGAGCTCTTTTGTAGGTCCGATTTAATATCATCAATCAGGTCCCCGACAACCGTCTCTCCATAAACAGAGGGATAACATTCGGCAGATGCAAATATACTCCTTACGAGTGTCTGTCGCCTTGACCCAACTCGAGATATTTTGAATCCACCTTCGTTGTCTTCTTTCATGACGTCGCCAACTTTGGCAGTGAGAGAGAATGCGCGCTTGGCAATTCCTTGTCGGCGTGGGCAACGACCCACATTATGAATAACTTTACTCGAGATCATTACTCGTCGACACGAGAGATTGAGCATCTGATATCCCATGTCTGGAGAGTCATGAATTTTCTCTGTTGTCTGCTGATCGGGCAAACGAAATGCAAGGAAGTGCAAATCATCGAATCGTGCTTAGTCATTAATTTCACGTGATCATAAATATTTAGGATGTTTGTTACCTTGGTGCTTGAGGCTCACGACGATTTAGATTTAGAACGTCAAGTAAAACATGAGGGTGCAATGAACTGCACCTCAATCGATCGTGGTTTTCAAGAATCAACATGTTTCTGTTACTATCTTATTCAATAACCTCACCTAGGTTTTATATTTGCTTATTGTGATTCCAAGACCAAGAGAGGTGATGATTTGTTGAACCGAAATTGGATCTTCATGATAGTCCTGTGCTGATTTGAACAACGGCGAAATACCTCATTATACTGAATAAAAATTTAATGTAGATGAGGTAACTTCGATTTATCCTTGCACTTCTTCATTAACAGATGACGGATATCATCAAAAGCAAAATGATCGTAATTAACCCAAAGAGAGCCACGCTTCGGTTACCTGCCTCCTGCTTGCCTCGATTCCTCCAGATTTTCGTTCAGACCGCTACCTCTAATCCATTCGATGGCGTAAGTATGGCTTCAAAAGAGGCTGTTCATGCTCCGTACTGCAGCTTGTGCAGCTGTTCAAGAAACGACGCCGAAAGAGGCTCGACCGCAAGAATCGAGAGTGGCCAATGAGAGATCTGATGGGCGATTTTTGCTGGGGGATCTAAAACGTACTTGACCATAACCAGGATAGCTTGTGAGATGGAGGTGCAGAAAGGCTACACTAATTCCGATTCCAGATTGATGCATGCATGGCGAACAAGAGATGGAGAAATGGTAGGGTAGTTCGGGTAGGGGGTGAGAAGGATGGTGATCAATGATTGATGATAACTGGTCAGTACTTCAAAATTGGCTGTTGGTACAGCAATAATCAAATTTGAATCCCTCCTCGATTTCCCAATCGAGTACAAACAGGTGGGATAATTTGGTGACTATCCTGTACCAAGATTGAGGAGAGAGGGGTTGACAAGACGGAAGGGTATCTAGTTAGTAGTAGTAGTTAGGGAGGACACGGCAGAGTGAACCGACGGTCAGGAATAAACAATCAAATCATATCAATAACCGAGATCCAACGATCTCTATGGTGTGTACTTTTGTTTGGTTGTGGTAAATTAAGTATAATGTAATACGCAGGTCCTTGACGAGCTGGAGATTATCGTGAATTTAAGGTTGGTTTGAGGGAGAGGAGATATCCGTATGCAAGATGGTGAGAGATGCGAGAATTGGTGTCATTTGTCTCATTCAAACACGTCCAAAAGGAACAATTATAATATGACATTGATTGGAAAACTTGGGAATCCATGCTTGTCTTCTTCATACCATATCTGATGTGTTCTTTCGCCTTACGCGGCTGAAGGATTAAGCCTGTCGGTCCTCAAGATTTCATACACACTCTTTAGCGAAAAGATTTTTGCAGGTCCGAATTTCAAATGGGATTGAGTTCCTGGAAAGACCCTTAAAAGTTAAAACTCTAATTAGTGCATAGAATTCGGGTAAAGTCACTGGATCTAGGTAGATAGTTTGTACGGCATATTAGCTTTTAATCAAATGACTCGGGACTGTCAATTTGTCAAATAATGGTGTTCAATCAGAATAATGAGTAAGATGGCGTGGGTGAGACTTGGAGTACCTAGGTAGGTAAGTGATAGCATCAATGGATGAGTAAAGATACTGCGTACGACAAGCTAATTGCAGATGCTAGACTGGATGCGAGTGCTAATGTGAATCAAAATGTCTAATGCGTTCGATTTATCCGATTCCTTCTTTTCTTGCACAAGACTCACGAGTGATAATGAGACAACTGTGCAGGAGATGCCTAGGTGGATGTCCACTTTTCACAACACTGCAGTAGTCGAGAGATAAGCAGAACAACCGGGAGGAAGTTAAAATGCGATCCAATGATAGCCGAGCGAGAAGGACTCTTATGCACATGGAAATGCATATCTTGCGCACATCTTACGCACCCTCGCGCCCATCTTTTTCAAGCAACTGCATAGAATTATTCCTGTCTTCAACATAGAACGGTATCTGCACAATGCAAGTAAGGAAAACTTCCCTCCAAAGCAGTTTAAGCTGGGTGTTGAGAGGTTTGGCAGCGCCATCCTCGGTCACCCCGGAAAAAGTTAGAAAAGCTGGAGAGGTGAAGAGAGACAGAATTGGAATTGAATACTACTTACTGTATGTGGACTTGCAGTGATACGTTTGGGGAACACTTTACTTGAGGGCATGGAAGGTTACAGAGGTCAGAATTGCAATCACTCGATCAATGTACATACATAGCCATTACCTAGGTCCTAGGTCCTGGGTTAAGTTGTAGAAAAATTCCAGATCCCAAACACACAACTGCAGCAAATCTCAGCGTCATCATACCTGGTATGTATCGTATGGCAGTTCTTAAGATTTGGTAATAATAATGTATTGTCGGAGGTTTATTACGATATGAATAAGATGATGCTGGGAACGAAGAGACAAACATTCAGAATTTTTAGTAAGGGTTACCATACCGAGTGAGCGTACCTGCTTCCCTCCAGATTACCTAGGGAGCCAGGGTACAATGATTAAGTTTTATACAAAAGATATCCAGTGCTCGTGTTTACCCAGGAACCACCTGGATATCAGGAACGACCAGGAACATTTGCTAGGATTAGTCTATTTTTATCATTTTGAAGCTTCGCTAACTCTACCTACCTAGTACCCACGGCTCATTAGAAGGACATCTGAGCACTTTTCCAAGTCCAACCACCCCCGCAAAAGAAAGTAGGTACATCTTCATCTTATCTCTCTTGGAGTCCCATTCATCAGATGAAATCTTGATGGTCAGCTGCTACGGTTATGGTGACGGAGTAATAGCTAAAGTTACATTCAATTACCCCATCCGCCAACGATGAGTGCCTTCGCTACTGGCTGGTCTAGAGACTTGCATGCGACTGTGACTGGAAGCTTGGTTAAATACTAGGTAGGTACCTAGTAGATTATGAAATGTACTGTGAAAATGAATACCATAGAGGACCAGGTATCTTCTTGCATAATCTCCCTTTCTTCACTCACAACTTTGGTAATATTCTTGCAGACAGTTGTTGCCCTATGGAATTGGATTTCGATGTTACCTCGCACACTCATCGATGTCCATAGGATTTCACCCATAATGGTTTTGATTAGCTGTGTAAATGAGGACAAGATAGAGTGCTCACGGTACAACATGTAACCCATAATGAGGAAGTTAAAAAAGAAAGGACTTGAAAGTGATGATTTCTCCAGGACAACAGGGACAACAGGGCAACGAAGTCTCAGATATACTTCCGATGAAAGCCTCTCACTGCGTCTGGAGAAGGGTTACTACTGGTTGTTGCTGTGTACCGCATTCATGGAGCGTCGTACCGGTATACGTATTGTCTTGTACGTACAGTCTTGCACACTGGTGTGTGTTCTCGATTCGAGATACGAATCTATAAAATGGTTCCTGGGCAAAGCGGGCGGGAGAGATCCACGTTCTCTCCGCTTGTTTTTCTGATCTATCTGAATTCTGAATAGACTTGACCACCATTACGACCTAGGACGGGGGGTACGGTCGAGTAGTGTATTGTTGAGGGTGGTTACCTCTTACCAAGGAAGTGAATATATATTGTAGGGCGATGGACAGTATCGTGATGAATGATGATGTAAATGTTGGAAGGGAAATGAGGATTGTGAAGAGGGGAGATGATGTGTTTTCGCAGGTGTTGATATTATAAGAAGAAGGACATGGGATGTTGGATATTGAATAACGAAATGAGTGAATTGGACTGTATAGTATTGTATTGTATTGTATTGTATCATACTGTAGAATCCAAAAGACGATTGATGATATTCAATTACCCAAATTAAGATTACCTACCTACCTCTCTCTTTTTTTCTTCTTTCTTCTGTAGAGTTTACCTACAGATCTAGGTACCTAGTATCCATCTAGTATCTACCTAGTACCTTACCTAGCTGGAGGTACCTAGCACTTCTCTCACTCTCACTCTCACTCTCTCATTGATATTAGATACACACATACACACACACATACACACACACTTCTCTCCCTCTCTCTCATTTTCACTCTCCCTCTCTCAATTGAATATCAATCTATATTATCTACCTATTTCTTCCATGCAAATACATAACCAATTTTATACATCTCTTATTACCAAGGTCCTCTCATAATCTCTTTTATACCAAATTTTAATAAAACCTCCAACTTCTTCCTAATTTCTCGGCTCCACTTTTCCAACACTCTAAGCTCTAGCGCCCTTTCTCACTAGCAAGTAGCAACGCCAGCTTTGGGACGAATCTCAGAACTCACATACCACCTCTCCGTCCTTTTGTAGAAAGTCAATTTATTAGTCCTGCGACCTTTTTGGACACAACTCTCTCTCTCTCTCTCTCTCTCTTCGTCAACAACCCACCACCCTCTTCCCTCCAAAAAAAAAAATAAACCCTTCTTTCTTTTGGTAGTAGATTCAGTTGCTTGTCCATATCAAAAGGGCTCTGCTTCTGATCTCTACCGTCCATTCCTTTAATACTAACTTACATTTTATCACTCCTTTCTCATTTGCCAATTTACGAAGTCACTTATTCATCCATTTGTCGATTTTCAAGAATCAATTTGTCCCAGTATCTCCAGTCTCCTCATCTTGGCTGCCAAATGTATGTCGAGCGTTTATTATCTGTTAAATCATCTATCTACCATTGCGATCAACTTTCCATTACAGCTTCTCGCATTTGTTTCAACGAGTTGAAGGGAGGACATGCTAATTAATGGTCGCAGATTGGATCGTGGTCGTTGTGTCGCTCGTATTCCCATTGAACGATTTGAATCGAATAATTCTTCCTTTCGAATCCCGTACGTCTCAACTTATATTTTTGGAACTGCGAGCGGTTTCTTCTTCGGCACCATTTTACTTTTCACTTTAACCATATGCTATTCTTCTAAGGGTTTGTTCGGTTGTTGGTTATCGATCCGATCTTAGGCAACATGGCTACCATATCAACAACGACACAAAGTGAGGTTAGCAGCCCTTCACAACTGCCTACCTTCGTTTTTCCCGCACGAGCTTCCCCATCATCTATTTCCGCAACATTCCCAAGAACCTCGGGTCGGCGGCCAATGTCTATACCTACCGAACTGCCAAGTTTCTCCTTCAATCCTTCGACGACGACAACACCATCTCCCTCGAGCCCTGCACTTTCTCCACCAATCTCTCCATGTTTCGCCAATTTCGATCTATCAAACTCCCCCAGAGCGGCTGGACATCGCAGAGGTACGAGTGAATTCATAGGTGGAGATGGCAAGGTAGGCTCGACTGCGGGATTGATGAGCACAAGTCCAACCCAAGGGGAAAATGCTTTGCCGCCACCTAACCCAGGAAGACGTGGACATGCACATAGACGTTCCGCTGCTGTGTCTGCACACGATATCAAAATGATTCTGAACCCTACCGCTCCAAACACACCGTCAATTCCACGAGGAGGATCCGCCCCAAATTCTCCATCTGGTCATGAGAGTCAACAAGGTGTAATTGGCCTCGCTAAATCTACCAGCAATGACGAAGCCTCTCCCATCAAACCCCCCTTCAATCGTGCTCGTGTCGGTTTCTCGGACAATGTGGAATTCATTCCTAGGCCCGTGAGCGTGGTGTCTAGTGACACATCTAGCAC